TATTTGGTGATGAGAAGAAGGAACCGTATGATTTAAAACAAAGGAAGGAGAACAACTAAATCTAACAGAACTGATAAAAATTAAAGGGAAATGAGCTTTTTTAAGCGATGAGAAGAAGCACAAGAGTGATATCATCTGGCTTCCCTCCTGGAGCTAAAAATCCGTGTTCACGGGCCTTCATAGCAAACGGGCTGTTGTGCTTCGAGTCGAATGCTAACCTGCGTGCTGTGAGAGCCAATGCATTACAAACCTGAAATTATCAATTTACTTCTTTGGAAAACCATTTGATCTAAAAACTCACTTCTTGAACATTTCCCTTTCCCTCATTCAACGCCTTCAACTGATCGAGCACCTGATTTTCACTCAAATTGTCCCAAACACCATCTGTGGCCAGGAGGATGATATCTCCTTTCTTCACATCCATCTCTTCTTTATCAGCCATATCCGCCCTATCTCCAATGAATCCTTGGTATCCCTCTGGTGGGAGTGTCAGTTGGAATGGAGCATTGAAATAGTGCACTTGTTCGCGGCTTTTAGAAATGACCTAAAAATCGTAGAAAATTTTAGTTTTGATTCATATGAATTAGAATTAGATATTCACCTTTCCGTTTCGAACGACCATGAATCCAGAGTCTCCAAGATTCGCCGAATACAACTTTTCTTGATGAACAACAAGAACGCATGCTGTTGAAGATCCTGGAAAACATAAATTGAGAATATATAAATCGATTAGTCTGTAGGGTTCTTACCAACAGGCCTCGGCGCCTCGGCAGATGCTCTAAATGCAAAATCTAGCAGTGAGTCGGGCCTTTTTGGATCAAATTCTCCTCCTTGCACACGTTTCTCACACTCTTTCATTAGTCTTCGAGAAAATGCAGATGGATCGATTCCATATTTTCTCCATCCACCAACACCATCTGCCACTCCTGGAAACCAAAATTTTGATAATAAAAAATGAATAATTGTTTTTAATTCTAGCTCAAAATCTTTTCCTGGGAAGCTCCTGTATGCAAGATTTCTCTCTTTTCAGATGGAGAATGACCCAGGCTACAATTGCTAGAGAATAGATTTTGAAAAACATGGCTAGGATTTTTCAGTGCAATTCAGGAACTTTGGGGCGCTTCCGTCATTTTTCTCTTTGGGAGCATTCGTGAGCTCAAAAACTTACCAACTACAAATGTGTTCTTGAATCTTGAAATAAACCAGGCGTCATCACCATATACGCCCTTGTCGAGTACTGTAGATGGACCATTGAGCATATCCTTTGGGAATCCTGCGCAACTGGCAATCACATTCTCTACGTGTGCACTGCTGGCTGGTGAGGATGATCCTTCATTTGATGGCTTTGCTGGCTTTGAAGAACTACTCGAGAGACCTCGTCTACCAGTACTGATTGCTTCTGGACCTACAGCTGCGCCTATAAAACTGTCCAATTGGGTCTTCAGTTCAAGATATAAAAATCAATTTACCAAGATCAAGAGCACTTGCTGAGAAAACTGCTCTGACTGCTAACCGTCCGTATGCGAGTAACCTCACACCGGCGACCATTTTTCGATTGTTTACCGGAATTTTCAAAAAAGTATTAGATTTGCGTATCTAGAGTCGTCTGAGAATCGGAATATTTTTTAAAGATACATGGAAGAGAGGAGGAGGCGTCCAAAGTCTGGGTGACAAGAATTGAGTGTCTGCTGGTGACTCCTGCAATTGAAAACAAATTGAACTAGTACATCAATAAGAGTCGTAAAAATATTAAGTTAGAGAAAGATAGAATTGAAAGAAGAACAAAGTGAATGCATGGAGTTAAAGTGTAATAGTGGCTCCGAGACTTCAGTGTCACCTGAGCGGCGGTGTGAGGGAGGAGGATACGAAAAAAAAACAAAAAAGAAAGTTTGAGGAAGCATTTTTCTCATTTTTAATTAGATTGATCATTGTTCGTCCAGTGAGGTACAGAAAACAGGTCAAAGTGGTAGAATGGTCAAAACATTAAAAATCAAGATTCAAAAAATGTGTGAATGGGAATTTCGATGAAGGTTATGATAAAATAAGAGAAGAAGGCCTGCAAGAATAACTAACAACAAATCACATGGAGGTTCGATTGATCTCCAAAGTTTGATCTGACCAAGATTCAAGTCGTTCTTTCCTTCTTTTGATTAACCTATAGAGATCGACAGCCATAAAAACGTGGGTAGCATTACTGCCCGACTATATCAACCATTCTGAATTTGTTCCGTAGCGCGATTGATCAATAAATTAAGTAAACTAGTGTGATAAGAGGGAAAGTGCGAATCGAAGATCAGTGATGATGGAACCAAGAATGGGAAGGTCAAAGTCCGAAGCGCCATCGAACAGCTGGACGATCGAAGCGTCAGCGGATCGGAGATTTCTCTCGGAAACTTTTCTTTAAGTTTCTCACGTAGAGACACAAACATAACTAAGGAAAAAAGGATAGCGAAGAGAAGAGAGATAGGTGGAAATGCCTTTGAAATATTTGCTGATGTCACTGACACAGAAAAACCGTGCTGAACTTCGCAACAACAACACAAAAAACGTCCTTGATCTGATTGAAACGCGTTGCAGCTTGATACAATTTAGTTGGTGACCGAGAATACAAAAATAACAGTTTACACCAGCAGCTGCTGCAATCGATTCAATAATAGAGAATCAAAACAGAACACTTATCACATAGAAGTCAAGCAAATAGAAAAGTCAACAGGACGGATCAGACTTTTTAGAACATTTTCCTATTTTTTCCAGAGATACCAGGGATGTTCGGAACGGAATTCAAAACTTCAAAAATTCCGAGCAAATTCTAACCGGAATAATTCCTTTTGAAAAGTTTGGAATAGAATTCCGAAGTGTGGTTCCAAAATTCTGAAAAGACCATTCAGAACATCCCTTCAGTGATACCGAACACTAAACCAGATGGTATTATGGGTGTTATGAGTTATATTAGTTCGACGAAAAACCAAAAAAAAACTCGTCTCCAGTGATCATCGTCATTGAATCTATCACGTCATCGAAGGAATGAAAGACTGGATGGTTGTGTTTGGGTGTGCTGTGAAGTGTGAACTGTATAGACGGAAAGAAGTACATTTGAAAAACTATTCAAGTCTGAAAACTGACAACCTATTCTTTCTTCCTAAACCGTTTATGACTAATCAACCGTGAAGAACAAAGCCAAGACTTATAGTTAGGAATCAGGCAACAAAAGATAAGGAAGTGAAAGAGGGAACATAGCACGATCAGACACGTGGCGCATGGACTACAGCTGACACAGAAAGTACACTCTGCTTGAGTTTCATATGGACCGGTCGAAGGGAGAAATCAGTTTAAAGACGAGCAGCATCAGCAAGGAGCAAAATGAGTGACGGAGGCAGGCTTGATCAAATACAGAAGCGGCAAATAGAGGGAGAGCTCCTCGACGCAACGCAACGGCGAGAAAGAAGAAATAAAAAAGAGCGAAGAAGATTGGATTGGCAAACGGCAGGATAGTAGAAGAGGGAAAATTGAATGTTTCAACAAGGGGAGAATTTTGGCATCAGTCTGACGAAATTCGTTGGAAAATTCTAGGTGGAGATGGAGAATTGTTTTCTTTATGTTTGAAAAAAAAACCACCACTGCTCGTGATCTATTCAAAACAAATAATAGTTCAGAACTTTTGATAAATGAATGTTCAATTGGTCAATTAAAAAGAAAAAGAAGAAGAAGAAGAGCATTTAGAAACTGACATGCCGTAAATTCCAATTTGAATATTTAAATTACCAATGTGCAATTCAAGAGATGATGAAATTTCAATATTTAATAAACAATGAAAATGTTTAGTTTTGATGTCTTTAGAGTCTTATCGTTTCATGTTAAGTAGAGAAAAATGGCAACTGTGCAAAAAAAAGAGGGAAGGAAGATATTTTTCGGCGATAACGACAAAGAGCGACATTATAATCTAAATGGTCTAATTAGACGACCACACATTCCACAGCACTAGGAGCAAAATTAGAAAAGAAAAGAACTTTTAATTCTGAAAGTTCCCAAAAGCTAAAAAAAATAATTCAGCAGGGTCCGCCTCCACCTCGTCTGCATCTCCTGCCCCGGGCGGCCCAATCAATATACAGATGTCTGGCGTCTCTAACGAGTTGAACACTCTCTCGGTTCCCACCACTCAGCTGTTTCGCTGGGCGCTTCGCGATTCTCGTCACAAATACGAAGGAAGAAGAGACCGAGACACGTCTGAGTCTCCAATTTCAACAATATCTATCTTTTTGAAGAGAGAGCAAGACAGCTGACAACTGGTCTCCGCGTCCCTTTGCCTCGAAATCCTAACTCTTTCCAGAAGCGACTTCAAAAAAAACCTAACTGACTGATAATAAGTATATCCCGTGCTCCTTGCTAACCTATTTTTGATTGTTTATTTCAAGCGAACAGTTGAAAATAGGTTGATTTCTATTATTATAAATCATGTGAGCGAGGATGTTCGGAATCAAAAATTCTGAATTTTAAAAATTAAGAATTTTCGGTTGTTAAAATTTCAATTTGAAAATAGAAATCCCACTTCTCCATCAGAAACCCGAAAAAAGAACGGAGAAAAATTGACAAATCTTCCAATTTTCCAGAAACGAAAAAATTACAAAAATATTTCCTCTCGAAGCCCGCGAGAGAAATTTTGCCTTGCGCCTTTGACATACTGTAGTTCAACAATTTCTGATTCGGAAGAAAATTTTCGGCACATAATTCGGAGGGTACAACAATTCGGGGGTACAACAATTCGGGGGTAAAGGGGTACAAAGTGTACAAAGTGATTTAGGGGTACAAAATCGACAATTCGGGGGTACAAACTAAGCCTTTTTCAGGTATTTTGTACCCCCGAATTGAGGATTTTGTACCCCTAAATTGCTTTGTACCCCAATGACCCCAAAATTTCTGTACCCTCCGAATTATTTGCCAAAATTTTCGGAAAAATTCCGGTCGGAATTTTCAAAAAATCAGAATGAAATTAGAATTTTCAAATACATGTTTTTGCGAATTCTTATTCACAATGTTCATCAATTCAGAATAATCCCAATGTGAGCAAAGCTTCACTGGATGCAATAAAGACAACCTTCATAAAATTTTATTAAAAAAGCAATGAGTTTCTAGAAGATATCTCTAATGTTAATTTCAACACCTCGTCTTATGGAAAAAAAAGTACTGGGATACTGTAAAAATGTTTCCTGATATCCAGGAAGAACGGGGATGTCGCGATATTGTACAATGAGTAAGGGGGGTGTGTGTTAAAACTGAGCAATCGAGTACAAATCAATCGTGTGCAAGTAAAATGATATCGAGGTGGGTGGGGGTGGGGGGGGAGGGTGGTCAGTTGATCAAAAACTGAACCTAAAGCCGATCGAAAATAACGAGCAATTAGGAAGAGAGAAAAGACGCGACCCGCTCAAATTTGGCAAAACTCGTAAGGTTTGGATGATGATGATGTATGAGAATGAGGAGAATGGTACGACAATGAGACAGCGAAATTGGGGTTCAAAACGAAAAAAAAAGTGGATATAGGGGCATGGAAATGTGATAGGAGATGATGAATCGAGATTTTGATGCTTTTCAGTGAACTTCTTCGAGCTGAAAGAATAAAGAGTATTAAATTTCAAAAAGGGCATGTGTATGTGTACTTACATGAGCTGTGGGCTTCTTTTTACAACATAGTCGGATGCACTTGAAAGGAGCAGACAGACATCCGACAGCACATGAAGCGAATCTGGATTCAGACTTCTTGATACCATCTTCAGCACCTAGCCTTGTTCGAAGAGTGGTTGATGGAGAAACTGTGTTGACGATGGCTGTGATGACGTATCTGGGAACTAGGCACAGAATCACGGATACACAAAGAGCCTGAAAAACTCAGATATAGAAAATTATAAAAGATTTTTAAAAACTCACCATCCAAAACTCGAGACTGGAAAACGCTTTCAGCGAAACCATAGATGGAGGATCCTTGACATTGGTCCACGTCCAGTTGGCGGTGACGAATCCATTGTACAGAAGGGCACAAATGAAGAAGAGAAGAACGGAAAGGAACATGGACCAGAACATTGGCCAAGTCCAGTACTGAACGAACAGTGCCAAATGGAATGTGTTGACGATGATCAGTTGTGTGACTAGAAGATGTCCGAAAGTCCACATATCAACATTGCTTCCACGATATGTCTGAAATTTAGTTTTGCTTTTTTGTTTTAAAAAGTCAATTCAACTCACAAAGTGACATATAAAATAGACAACAAGACTCTGCCAAATCGCATCCAGCATGTTTATCCAGAACGAATACCACCGGTATCGTTTACCGAGTCGTCCTTGTCCATATAATTTGGGACAGTCCAATAGTAATTCTGCACTTGCGTCCTGGTCGAGGCAACCGAAAAGAAGTGGAGGAACCGAAGTGAATATGAGATTGTAAACCATCAAATAAACCGGATCTATGGGAACTTGAGCTGAGAATCCATTGAATATTTGATACCAGAAGATGACGAAAACCAGCATTGCGTTTTTGTAGAAGAAATACAAAATTGTTTGGGCCAGACGGTAGTAGTTCCAATGTCCATGTATAAGTAGAAGATTTGATAAGAATCGGAATCGAGCCATGGCGAAATCAGAAGACATCACCGCCTGCATTCCTTCTTGTCCTGAGAGACCAACTCCAACATCGGCTCCTTGAATCATGCTGACATCATTCGCACCGTCTCCAATGGCTAACACTTTTCCTTTCAAATGATTTTTCGCCAAATTTACCAATTGAGCTTTTTGAAGAGGCGTCGCACGGCAACACAATACGGATCGACATCCACGAAGAAGTTTCACAAACCGATCAACGTTGTGTGGATCCAGACAGTAGCTCATTGTAGCTGCGTTCAACACCAATCCAAATGAATCTGTAGCATCGATTGAGACCTCTTGAGCTCTGGCGATTCGTTTCAAATGCTCTCCTAAAAGATCAGAAACAGCTCGAACTCCATTCGCTCCAATATTGAGTAGATCCATTGACGGAGAAAATAGTCTTGATGAATAGGCAATATTCACAGCTGTTTCGATTTTATCTCCAGTGAGAACCCATACTCTGATACCAGCTTCTCGAAGTGAATGAATACATTCTGGAACTCCATCTTGCAATCTATCCTCAATGGCAGTCACTCCAAGAAGTTCCAGATCTTGTTCAGCGCGGAGAATACTTTCAGCAACCAGTGTTTCCTTATCCACCACATCCAACTCGGCCTCTTCGTGTTTCTCTTTCCATTCAAGATATTCTTCTTCTGTCCATACTCTCATCGAGAGACACAATGTTCGAAGACCTTCTTTGGCATACATAGTCAGATGTTCTTGAGCTTTGAATATAACTTCTTCTCCTCTTGTTGACGTGCAGAATTCATTGCTCAGAACTGGCAACACGGTGGCGTCTGCGCCTTTAGTCAACACAATGATCCGTTTCGATCCTGTATTCTCGCGAATAATCACCGACATTCGTTTCCGATCTGCATCGAATGGAAGTGTGTGGAGTACCTGAATTCATAATTTAGAATAGATTACATCCCTCTCTTATCTCACTTTATACTTGACGCTTCTGGTCGAATGACGTAAGTACACTACGACATCATCAAATCGTCGTTTCAACAACCGGACGCCATATTCTCTTGCGGCTTCAACAAGCGCCAATTCATCGGGTGACTCAGAATCGTAAAACGAATGTGGCGGTGGTGCATTGACGTCCGACGAGCTTGAACGTTTGTCCACCGATCGACGGAACGGACTTTTGATTCCTTTTAGCTTGGCAAACGGAACTGATAGAATCGAGGGACGATGAAGGATACCCTGGAAAATTAGAAAACTATTAGAAAAAAAACAGAATAATTTAACTCACAAATCCTTTTCCTTCTTTTCTTTCTCCGTTGTAATTGTTCGATCCTTCTTTTTCCTCGTCCTTTTTCTCAATTACATTGATCTCTTTATCAGAAGGTTGCGTATCTTCCGTCTTGCCGACTTCTGGAAATTCAATCAGCTCGATTTCTTCAAAACCATCCTCTGCAGCTGTTTTCTCTTCTGCAACCACTGGAGTCGACGAGTTGGACGATAAGCTTTCTTCTTTACATCAGCCAACATTTTGTTCCCCGTTATGCTATCCGTACTACTCTCCCGTTTCGGTGACAGTGCGTCCTCTTCCGTTGCAAATCGACTATTCACAATATCTCCATCTGGATCCATCAAATCTTCGTGAGGTTTCGCATTAACAACGACAGTGTTGCAGATGGCCAACGTGAGGAAGAATGCAAAAACCGGGTCATCAATATCAGCTCCTTGTTTCAGAACGCTTGAAGCGAGTTTCGATTCTAGAGCAGGATCTCGAGAAGGCCTTAGTCGACCTGTGTTGGCTGCTGCTTCTGCTAGAGCTGCCAACTGTAGTTTCTTCTCTGTCGGTTGGTTACTACGTAGATTCGAAGCTACTAGTTCGAGAGAAGAATCAACGGCATCTAGAACGGGCCTTCCTCCAAAATCACTTCCATTCACAGAACATCTTCGGAATACCATCTGAAAGTTTATAAAAATGAATGAACGCATTAAAAAAAAAATAAAATAAAAATGAAATCTTTATAAAAATGAATGAACGCATTTTAATTTTAAAAAGTGAAGGTGTCTCACCTGATTCTCAGTCAATGTTCCTGTTTTGTCAGACATCACATACTGTATCTGACCCAATTCCTCAGTGATATTCAGTGCTCTGCATTGTAATCGTTTGTCCACTTTATCATAGTACATGTTACGATCTTGAGACATGAACCACACTTGGAAAATCTTGATGAACTCAATCGAGACGTATAGAGAAATTGGAATCATGACCTGGACAAGAAATTATTAAAATTGATTTCTTGAATCAAAGACTCACTTGTAAGACAATAATATAGCTCCAGAAACTGAACCAAGACTCGTACGATGGACTGTACTTGTATTGTGAATCGTTGTTGTTGTGATACGAAGAATTTGGATGAATGAAGACGAGGAAAGGAACAGTGTAGGGAGTCGAGTAGTTTCGGAGCCAAACCCCGGATAGAACTGCTCCAAGAACACAGAGGGCGAGAAGGGTACAGACACTCCAGAGAATATCAATGTTGGTCATCTTCTCCAGAGAACTTCGCTTGTACCTTGGTCCACTGTTGTTCAGCATGGCTTTTGTATCCTTTCCGGCATACAGTACGATACCCTCGACGAAATCCGTATTCTTAACAACACATCCGCGCAAAAGAACATTCTCTTTGGCTAAAATGGTGAACTCTCGAGCCAATGGTGGCCCGCCTTCCATTGCTTCCAACCTTCCTTCGAACTTGTACACATCCGTAGTTGGTCCTTCACAAGCGATCTGAATATGACAAAATCACATGTAATCGAAATTTTTAGTACCCACTCTGTAGTTGAATTCCGATGGAGAATATTCCAACGGAACATTAGAATTGTGATATTTTCCCATTGCTCTGATGGCTTGTCTCTGTTTAAGGTTACTTTCTCCATCCAAATTACATGTCTCCACATAACAAACGCCGTTCACATCACTGCTTCGCAACAATAAGATGTCAGCCGGGATTATTTCGTCATGGGATAAATGAACGAAATCGCCAACCAAGATGTTTTGCCACTCGAGCTTTCGGTATCTTTGTTGACTTGCGTCCCACACACGACACGTTGAATGGTTGATTTTTTGATCGGATTTGTAGCGACGATAGTCTTCGAAAGCGTCTTTGATTGCTGTTATACCAAGCACAAAAGCAATCGGCATGACCGAAATGTACTTTCCGAATGCTCCAATGATCATATTGAGGATTACAATGAAGATGAAATAGAGATTGGCAGCTCGGTGAAGCTGTTCGAACAAGTTCTTCGGAATGAAAGTTAGCACACTGTACTTGGTTGTTGATATTCGATTTCCACAGTATCGCCGATTCGGTTGCTCATATCGTGGAGGTGGTTCTTTCTGATTGTTCGGCACTACGATTCTCTGTTGTGGAAGTATCGGCTGACTCGGGAAGAGCCATCGTGTCACAGGATGCGACTTCAGAATTCTCCCCCCATTCTCGGCTTTCTCTTTGATGACCTGAGTTGGTGACGAGAAGATAGGCCTGAAAAATGGTCTTAACTATGTGGGTCTGACTTTTCCTTTTCTAACCTTGTTGGAGGTACCCATAATGAAGATGTTCGACGATGATGTCCTTTTGATGTTGTTGTCGTATCGTACAAAGCGCTACTCGAGTTCGACGTTGACGCCTCCACGTCCGAGCCCACCGATTTCTGAAAGTAACAAATCCATCTAAAGTTCTGAACCTCCTATAGCTGTCCTGTGGTTCGCATACATGGCCGACATTGGTGTAATTAGGCTTGTCGAGCAAGCTACGAAAAAAACTTTTTCTGTGTTGGTTTACTTGCTCGGCAACCTATACCATTAGATTCCTCTCATGATTCTAAGTATAATACATATAGCTGCCGAGCTAGCTTTTCAAAATTGAGCCGTGTAAGAGCCTCCGAAAAAGCTGCCGAGGTGCCTTACACCATAGGACACCAAGTAACCCATATATGGTGGTTCGCCAGGGTTGTTCGGAACGGAATTCGCAAATCCGGAAATCCCGAATTTTTGAAAATTCCGAAAATTCGAGATTTTCAAAATCTGAAAATTCCGAATTTTCGAAAATCCGGAAAGTCAGAATTTTTTGAAAATCCAAAAATTCCGAGGTTTTCAAATTTTTAAAATTCTGAAATTCCATAACTTTTAAACATCAGGAAAATTCGAAATTCCGAATTTTTAAAAATTCCAAAAATTTCAATTTTTTAAATCGGAAAATTCCGAAAATCCAAAATTTTCAGAATAGGAATTTCCGAACATCGCTGGTCAGACTCCATCCCGAATGGATGTCGTCCACCAAAGATTAATTCGATAACGAATATTTTTTTCTTTTTTCAAAAATATTCCGAATAGGAGATCGAGACATAGCGTTGCGCGATCTCTATCTCTTCTCTTCTCTCTTTTTTTTTCTTGATTTTTCGTCTTCATCGAAAACCAATTAAAATCTAGAGTCTCTTCTTCACAACCTACCTTGCTCATTCACAATTCTCTGATAACCGAGAATACGATATAAACACGCACAGCTGGATTTATAAAAATTTGGGTGTTGATTTTTCGAGTCGTTTCAAGTGCCGTTCACACTTTCCTACATTGATTTGCGAATCGAGCGGCGTTCTGGAAATTTGAAATTTTTGAGTTGAATGAAACTACAGTAAGCATACACGATTCGGAGATAAGTCTAGTAGCTATAAGGGCAGTTGGCTATAGTATGACTGAAAAGCAAGACCTAAAATTTTGCAACGCTTGGTTTCCTCTGATGTCCTAGATTTTTCAAGTTCACGGGGTCAAGAGTGAGAAAACCCAAATTTCGGGTTACTGTACTAGTGGCACATGATTCGGATTTAGAACCAGGGAAACCCTAAAAAAAGAAAAGAAAGTTCATATAGTTCGAGAAGACGTTCTGTGTTGTGAATGCAAAGGAAAGCGAGAGAGAGAGAGAGAGATAGGGGTTTTCAATTCAGCCAACAACAGCAAAATGGTCTCGTTTCAACCTTTTTTTTCAAATAAAAACTGCCGAGGCATACGTACACAGCTACCCGGAAGACGTTTGAAAATGAGACGGTTGAGAAGAGATTGGGGAGAGAGAGAAAATAAGAAAAAAATCCTCAGGATATGAACAGCTGCAATCGCGCGGGTGCGGAAGATCTCGTGCTAGCGCAGGCAAAAACGAGTACTTTTCTGTGTCCCTGTGTCCGCTATCTCTGTATCTAAACGTCTCTTACATTAAGCTTATGTTCTCTCTAGATGAGAATATGCCAACTATTTATAATCCCACTGTTTTAGTATTATTGTTCTGATGTAATAGAAATACCGTAAAACCTGTATTTGAAGGGTCGGCCCTTCTATTGTTCCAGGGCACCTATGGAGCCCTTCAATTAGAGGGAGCTCTTCTATTTTTCATGTCATTTTTTCCGAAGTTTTTTATTTAAAAAACAGGCAAATTTTCGTTCAAAACGCATGAAAATTCAAGAAAATTAAGAACTTTTTGAGCAAAAAACATATTGAAACAAATTTCTGCGAAATTTTGGAATTTCTGAAGTACTTTTCACAAAAAAAACCTACGGAATTTATTTTATTTAAAGGCACATTTTGAATGAAGCTCTTCTATTAAAGGGGCCCTTCGATTAAAGGGGCCCTTCTAGAACATGTTTTACGGTAACTAGATATTGCTCTGGTAAAAAAAAGTTGGAGCTGTGGAAGAGAAAGTTGGAGCTGTGGAAGAGTTGGAGCTGTGGAAGAGAGTTGGAGCTGTGGAAGAGAAACGCCGGAGGCCGTGGCTGGATGTCCCAACTACAGTAACCTAAAAGGATTTTTCCCGGATTTATTATCTTCCTTTTTGGGCGTTTTTAGTCAATTTTTTCACTATTAGCAAAAACAGAAAAATCGACGGAAAGCAGCGAAAAAAGAAAAATTCAATCTAAAAAAAACTACTTTTAGGTTACGGTAGTTGTCGTTGTGGGACCTCCAGTCCGGCGTTTCTTTTCCACAGCTTAAATTTTTATACCAGAATGATAAACACAGGATTAAAACCCAGGGAAAAAGTGACGAATCATTACTGTAGGAGGAGATTTCAAAAACTAAAAAATAACAAAAATTCAAACTATGCGCAGGTTTCGAAGCTAGTAATCACAAGGATATTGAAGAGACAACTTTCTGCCATCGCTCCGATTTTTCTACGTTTTCGATGGTCTAAGTAAATACCAGAGGGCAAAGGAAGCAGAAAGTAAATGGGGTTGGTTGGGTAGAAGAAGAAGAGGAGGGCGCGAAGAAATGGAAAAGGTTTCGGCTCAAAGAGCACATAGAGCAGAGGGAGTGAACTGTGCATGGGAATATTAGGGGACTCATAAAGCATTTGAATCTAGACGAGAGAGATGAGAGACGGAGAAGAATTTGAATGAGTGAGGAATTTCTGAACCTTTAAAGTTTACATGAATTATCATTTAGGCTGGAGGTCCCGCAACGACAACTACCGTAACCTAAAAATGTTTTTTTTTTCAAATTTATTTTCTCGATGTTCAGGTGAAAACTTGACGAAAAAAACAAGAAAATACATCCGGAAAATAATTATTTTTTAGGTTACAGCTCCGACATTTTACTATAATAATACTAAAATAATGTAAAACATGATGAGCAGGAGAAAAATAAAAACAAGCTGCTACTCAGTTAGATAAGAGCGAAAAAAAGGAAACACCTGAAAAAGTGAGTCAGAAGAACACAGGAAGTCGAGGGAGGTAGTCAAAATAAGAAACGGAAACGTGCAAGAAGATCCATAGATCCCTGACACCTAATTTCTAGAAAATTTTCTTATTTTGTAGTCTCTCTGGACATCTGAGCGTAGTCCAACGCGATTTGAGGAGCATGACAAATAGAGAGAACACTTTTGTGTTTACAAGTTGTCTAAAATAAACTCAGGCGCCAGAAAAAGAGGAGTTTCTTTCTATTTACTATTGTACCGTTTGGTTTTGTGATGGCGATGGCGATGGCAGGAGGTGGTGGCCCCCGTAGTTTGTGACTTGTGTGGCCGGTGATTTTTACGAAATACTCGGGGGCGACGGAGTTTGGACTTAAAATTTAGGAGAGAAACATTCAACAGCTTGCAGGCGAAAAACTACTGAAGCTTGCTGGTTTCTGAATGTTTTGTAGAAAAAAATGGAGCCTCTTTACAAGTTCGGCAGAGTCCTGATTGAAAAATTCACATTGTGAATGAATCACACTTTACTGCATCTCCAAAGGATGACAGTTCGACAAAAATAATTAAATTCTACTAGTTCGATACAGAGGAAGATTGAATATGTTTCCACTTACAAAAAGACAGAACAACGAATATTGAAGTACAAGTTTCTTGAAAATTACAGAAAAAATCCGATTTAAATTCTTATTTCGTCGAAAAATGGAGCAAAAAAACAAAAAGAAATCTAATTTTTGATTCAGAAAGACCATAGGGATTTTCGTTATGAGACCCAAGGAAGCTTTCCGCTAAGCGCCTTTAATCTGGTATACTGTAATTAAATTTTGATTATTTGAATTTATGTGATTTTCGATGGCAATCAGGTTTCTGGTGTGAATTCAAAGCGAAAAATTTCAAAAAATGTAATATCTTCAGAAATATCAAAAAATCGCACGAAAAAAACAATCAAAAAAACCAAACAGCTTTTTGCTCTGAAACCCGAAAAAGTTTTTCGCTGTGCGCCTTTAATCGGGATACTGTGGTCGAGTTTTGAGTTTTGAAAAAATTGCCAGTTTTCGATGGCAATCTGATTTATTTTATTGCAAACGTGAAGCGAAAATCTAACTTGGATTCAAAAATTCAATACACTCAGAAAAAATATTAAAATTCGGCAGGATTTTGTAAATACTGTTGACGAATTCCATAAATTGCTGAAAAGGGAATTGGTTTTAGTCTTTTGTTAATTGTGGGCTTTCTTCCTCTCCAAGAAAGAATTCTATCTCGCGCATTCCGCCTCATTCATCTGCTATCTGCGCCTCTCTGATTCGCCGTTCTCTGAACTACCGGAATCAGGGCGAACAAAGTCTGCGCACCCACACACACACACTCTTTGTCACTATTATTCTGGATAATGTCGTCGTTTTGTTCAGAATAGTGGCGAAAACACAATTACAGACTATCGAGAATCGGTCTACCAGCAAACAAGCCAAATGCCACGGTCAGTCATAGTACAACCTCCAGAAGTTGTTGGACTACGTCATCAGGAGGAAACCAAACAAACTGGTTTTTTATGCTTTCTTATCTCGATACATTTCATTCAATAGAAAAGTTATTTAAGCACGAATTAGTATGAGAGAAGGGAAATTGACTGAAACAGGAAGAAACCAGGGGCAAAAAAGAATAGAGAAAGGGTTCTTCACTAACATTTGAAACATAGTCAGGATATGCTGATAACCGATCAATCAGCTCACAACTAAACAGAAATGACGAGAATAAGTTACTATGTTTATCACAACTTTGGGAGGAAGGTGCCTATAGAAGATGAATAGAAGGAAAGGAAAAATCACAGGTCACATTATGCAATTCAGGGAAGAAGACTAGTTATGGGGAGAGAAATTGACTAGAGTCCTAGCAGGTCATCCAGACCGGATGAGGAGTTGACGGTGACAGGAACCGGAGGAGGTGCAGAAGCAAACATGTCGAACAGGTCATTGTTGGCAGCTGTTGTTGTTGTGGCAAATGATGAAGACGTGGACATTGGAATAGACTGGTTACCGGTTGTCGATGGTGCTGGAGCAGAGTGAAGCGCACTTTGTCCGTAGTTTGTCTTCATGACCTGGAAGCGGTAAATATATGCTATCTGCTACTGAAACCTTATCAATACCTTGCCAAGGGCCAGATCCGCGAAGGCATTCGACTTATTTGGAATACTGAATCCCTGTGAGGAATTTGTTGGAGACGTTGGAGTCTGCTTCGCACTGAACGATGAAGGTGAGCTAATTCCTCCAAATCCTTGGTATTGAGAAGAAGGAATTTGTGCAAACGACGAGCCGAAATTTTGTGGAGGATTGTGTTGCATCGTCATTTGAACTGGAGCAGTAGCAGAAGCACCAAAATTGATTCCTGATAGTCCACCGAACATATCGTGCGATTGAGGTGTCTGTTGGACCGGCGGAGCTCCAAATGACGCGAAAGCATTTTGTTGTGTTTGATGTGGTGCTGCCTGCAGTCCGAATCCAGCAAATCCACCTGGAGCCACCACGTTCGGGGCAGAAGAGCCTCCAGAAGGACCGAAAAGTGAAAGAATGTCAGCGTTTGTCTTCTTCTTTTCAGATCCTCCATTTTCGGTTGAAGGCGTCGTCAATGCCGTCAAATCTGAAACACACGCTTTAAAAAATGACTTCAATTGAAATTTCGATTACCGTCGAGTCCTGAAGAGGATGGGACTGCTGTCGTGGCAGTAGTAGTAGTAGTCGGAGCCGACGAAAAATCGGCAAAGCCTCCAAGACCAGCGTTCCGCGCTGCAGCTTGTGAATTAGCAGATACAAATGAGCCAAAATCATCAAAATCGTCATTGACAGCAGCAGCGGGAGCTGGTGGTGCTGGTGTGGATGAGCTGTTCAGATTGAGTCCTTCAAAATCATCAAACAAATTGACCGAATTCTTAGCGGGAGCAGTAGTGGTAGACGAATCAGAAAAATCGAGTAGAGATGGTGCCGCCTGTGAATACTTATTGTTTGGGAGAATAATTTTGAATTTATCAAACTCACTGAAGCTGAAGAACCGTGACCATTACTTGTGATTGCTGAGCTTCCACGTGTCGCGATGCTCACTACTGGCGTGCCGATTTTCTTCGAAGCTTGTGACAATGACTTCGGCAATTCACTGGCATCCACTCGAGGGTAAACGAAATCGCGAAGAATGTATCGCTTCTGTTCGTACTTGCTGCGAATGAACTGTTCCATTTGCTGATCGTTCGTCGGACGACGGAATTGTGCAGGAAGATCGTGTTCGTAGACTTGTCGAGCTTTCTCGTTTCCCATCACACGCATAGTCTGCACTTGTTCCGGTGTCCAGGAGTCCAGATTAACGGATCTGACTTTGGAAATGTGAACTCCGAGATTACGGTGGATTCCAGCACAGCGGATGCAGATAAATACTCCCAAGTTCCATGCTGCCCATCTGAAAATTATTGTTTTAGAATTGAATAGGAAAGAAATCGCTTTACCTTGGAGTCTTTGCTTGACAATCTGCACAATACTTGTTCTCCTCCTCTTTCAGCATTTCCAGAAGAAATCCTTGCAGTCTCTCCTGCTCCTCCTTTTTCGGATCAACTTTTCCTCGCAGCATTTTTTGTATGCGGCACGAAGACTGCCCTAATGCACCCTGAAACAAACGGAAATGAGGTGGAAACGACTGATAACAAGGACAAAATCAAATGATAAAGTGGCAGGAGAGTCAATCGATTTTCAGGTCTGAAATATGGAGAAGAGAAATGTCATGGTAATAGTTTTTTTTTTTGAAATTCGTACTCATAGAACTTCTGGAATTCCATAATCTACCTAAAACGCGGATAGGAAACAGGTAGCACCTGAGATACGAGAAAAAACAATTAATCAATGAAGCCGTGGCCTTTTCGGAGCCGTTGCCAAAAGCCCGTTAGGACACGAATGGAGCGAGAAAAGAGAGACAAGGAAGGGAACGAGAGTGAGTGGCAGTTAGAGACGCAGACATCAATGCGACTGCGAATACAACGAATATGACGCGAGAACAAGAGAGAAGAGAGAGAGTGACGTGGAATTTTGGAGCTTTAAGAATAGGAATACTGACTGAAAATGCTCTTGATGACCGCCTTACTCATCGAAAAAATAGGCATGAATGTACAACATTTCGCTTCTTAAAATCAGGCGTTCTAAAGTGAAATATGACAAAGAAACAGAAATGATTTATTGACAGTTATGCACAAAGAGCAGGTCGAGTAAAAATGTACAATGAGTTGTAAAATCCTTTAGACTACTTGGTCCAAGAAACTTTTGGAATGTCGTTGAATTCGGTCATTTCCTCCATTTGCTTGTTGAACTTTTCTACCTTCTCACGATGACTGACAGCAGCTCTCTTCAACATTCTCTCGGCCTGAAACAACGAGTTTAGAAAAATCAGTTTGATATAATACCAACCATGTTCGCCTGCCTTCTTGCCTCGAACCGAAGCTCGGCTTCAGTTTTGTGTGGGCCACTTCCGGAAGCATTTCTGGAATCTCTGAGACAGTTAGAAATCAGATACATCAGTAATTTACCGTCTAATCGTCATATCCACTTGTTTAGGATCTACAGTCGGCTTGCTCTTCTTTGCTTTCTTCGGCGCATCGGAGGACACCTTCTTCAGTTTGAGAGACCCTTTGACGACAGTATCTTTCATCTTCTATATTATGCTTGTCTGAGAAAAAAAAGGTTGAGACGCAGAGAAAAAGTGTCTGCGACTCCACTTATTATGTGCTATTTAGCATACTTGTAAAATTCCGGGCCGGGCCTGAGGAAAATTTCAAGGCCCGGTAGCAAAAATGTTGTCATTTTGAACCGAATTTTGAGCTCTCAATACAATTTTCTATATTTTTGTGCTTTTTGGATTGTTTGTCTGTTTGATCAAAAAATATCAAAAAAACTCGAAAAAAATCACATAACGGTCCCCCCTTATGTGTTTTTTGAAATTTTCAAAACTTGTGGAATGACAGGCCCGGGCCTCCGAAATTCGGGAAAAAGCCCGGCCCGTTACAAGTATGCTATTTAGGCTCTCCGCTTCGATATCGCTACCGTATTCAAACTGCAAAAAGAACTCTCTAACCTTTTTTTTCTCAGACAAGCATAATAGAAAATACTTTTATTAGGCTGTATTTTCTTCCTAGAATAAATATATTTTAACGATTTTTACATTTAAATAGAAATAGAAGTTAATTTATAAGATGCATCTTTTATTCGTCAAATTTATTGGACAGTACCGAGCGAAATTAAAAGATCATGAGAGAGGGAAATACAATAATGGGCACAATAATTTAATTGTTCTGTGGAACGCAATTACTGCTCCGACTCGTAGGTCTCCCCTTCTCCAGTGAACTCATCAAGTGGCTCATCCTCGGCAGTAGCTTCTTGGTATTGCTGGTATTCGGAGATCAAGTCGTTCATGTTGCTTTCGGCTTCAGTGAACTCCATCTCGTCCATTCCTTCACCAGTGTACCAATGGAGGAAAGCTTTTCTGCGGAACATGGCGGTGAACTGCTCCGAGATACGCTTGAAAAGCTCTTGGATGGCGGTTGAGTTTCCTACGAATGTGGCAGCCATCTTGAGCCCGCGTGGTGGGATATCGCAGACAGCAGTCTTGACATTGTTCGGAATCCATTCCACGAAGTACGAAGAGTTCTTATTCTGTACGTTCAACATCTGTTCATCGACTTCCTGAAAAAAAAACAAGGGTCTTGATCCTCCTGATGAACTTTAACTCACTCTCATAGACATACGACCGCGGAACATCGCTGCAACGGTAAGATACCGTCCGTGTCTTGGATCGCAAGCAGCCATCATGTTCTTGGCATCGAACATTTGTTGGGTGAGCTCGGCGACGGTCAAGGCGCGGTAGGCCTGGGCTCCCTTGGCGGAGAGTGGAGCGAATCCTGGCATAAAGAAGTGAAGACGTGGGAATGGGACCATGTTAACTGCCAACTTGCGAAGATCAGCATTGAGTTGTCCTGGGAAACGGAGACATGTGGTGACTCCAGACATTGTGAGCGAAACAAGATGGTTCAAGTCACCGTAGGTTGGGTTAGTGAGCTTGAGCGTTCTGTAGCAAATGTCGTAGAGGGCCTCGTTATCGATGCAGTAAGTTTCATCAGTATTCTCGACAAGCTGATGAACGGAGAGGGTGGCATTATATGGCTCAACGACCGTGTCCGAAACTTTTGGGGATGGAACAACGGAGAAGGAGGACATGATACGATCTGGGTACTCTTCACGGATCTTGGAAATGAGAAGGTTCCCATTCCCGATCCGGTTCCTCCTCCAAGGGAATGCGTGAGCTGGAATCCTTGAAGACAATCGCATCCTTCGGCCTCTTTACGAATCACATCAAGTACATTATCGACAAGTTCAGCTCCCTCAGTGTAATGTCCCTTGGCCCAGTTGTTTCCAGCTCCCGATTGACCGAAGACGAAGTTGTCAGGACGGAAAAGTTGTCCGAATGGTCCCGATCGGACAGAATCCATAGTTCCTGGCTCAAGATCGACGAGGACCGCGCGCGGCACATATTTTCCATCTGAAAACATGAATTTGATAAGCACGTTACGCCTACAATGACTCACTGTTAGCTTCGTTGTAGTAGACATCGATTCTCTCGAGCTGCAAATCACTCTCTCCTTTGAAGGTTCCATCGGGCTGAATTCCGTGTTCATCGGAAATGACTTCCCAGAACTTGGATCCGATCTGGTTTCCGCACTGTCCGGCTTGAACGTGGACGATTTCTCTCATTCTGACACTGAAAAACTGTCAATTGGAATGTGTGACGGAAACGCGTTACAGGACATGGCAGAAAAAAAACGGGAATGACCTGATAACGCTAGGGTAACGAGTGTTCTCCGCGGAAGTGACTCAAAAGTGACGATTCGAATCAGTTTTTGGCGCCACGCATCGCGATACGCGACGCANGNGANAGCCCCCGAATTTCCGCCCACTTTTCTCCGGAGTTTTTTTCCCCGGAATTTGCGGGGTCTCTTTCCGGGGGGAGACCCACTTGGGTTCAGGCGAGGGGTCAGAAAAAGCGCCCCAGCAAACTCGTAGGCCAGAAGAAATTTAATAATTTTAAAATGAACGCGGGTTTGAACTAGATCATGATCTATTTCTTAAAAATCAACGGGTTGCAAAGCGCGTATTCTCGCTCATCGTTTAAAACTGTGATACTCAGCCAACGAAGTTCGGAAGCGAATTGAGAATTTTTGAAAAATTTACTGGGGCGCGCTTTCTGACCCCCTCGCTTGAACCCGAGACCCGCAAATTCCGGGGAAAAAAAACTCCGGGGAAAAAAACTCCGGAGAAAAGTGGGCGGAGTCGGGGGCGGAGCCTAAATTGCAACGCTGGCACGGTTTTACCGCACGGTTTTTCTCGACTCCGCCCACTTTCTCCGGTTTTTTTCCCCGGAATTTGCGGGGTCTCTTCCGGGGGAGACCCCGCAAATCCCGGAGAAAAAATTTTCCGGGGAAAAAAAACTCCGGAGTAAAGTGGCCGGAGTCGGGGGCGGAGCCTAAATTGCAACCCTGGCACGGTTTTGCCGCACGGTTTTTAGCACATTTCGGAATTTGCGGGGTCTCTTCCGGGGAAAAAAATTCCCGGGAGAAGTGGGCGGAGTCAGGAGGAAAAACCTGAATTGCAAGCTGCGCACGGTTTCGCCGCACTGTTTTTTTAAGCGGTCATTAAAAAAAACCGTGCGAATCTAGCAATTTAGATTCCACTCCCTGACTCCGCCCACTTTTCTCGGAACTTGTTGGGAATCCAGACTCAAAATTTTGAATTAATTTAAAATGGGCCTTCATTATAAAAGGAAATCAAAACATGAATGTAATCTATCGGAAGAACATTTTTAAAAAAATTTCAGGGAATAAAACCAATGTTCAAGGGCATCTACAACTCGAATTTGTGCCGGTAATATCGATGGCTATCCGATTAAATGGTGAAATAAATAGTTCTCAATTCAACAGAGAGTTGAACAATATAATTTTCTTTCAGGATTTAGGTTTCCATTATCGTCTCTGCGGGTGTTAGCGTTTCTGGTGGTTGCAGTTTTCATGATCTCATCAATTTTTATTTATAACTCGACATTTTTCGAACAATCTCCTACATGGAGTCCCCAAGCACTTACTGGGTAAGTCTGTCAAAGAACTGATTCATAAAACCTTGTTGATTTTGAGAAGAATCGAAAATGTAGATGATTATGATGCGGCGTGTAGTGGATATTCAGTCGGGAGAATTCTTCGAGAACAGAAAAGGTAAAGATCTTTTGCTATTTGATATTAAAGTAAACCAGCAGTATTGCAGAATATTAGCATCAGTCCGTTCGGAGTTGGTTGAGTCCCAAGCCAAAATTGAGGAAATACGAGCCGTTCAGGAGGAGTTACAGAGATTGATCCCTCAAAAACGTGAGAAGACTCGTTCATTCAGATCTAACTCTTTCAAAAATAACTACAGAACTGGAATTATCAGCATTAGAAGGTGAAATCGAAGCTGCTCAAAGGCAATTGGAAGAGCTGAGGGAAATTCAAAATGTGAGAGTGTTTTTACCATACTCTCCCCTTCAAATTAGTTCATCTGGGTTAGTTTAAATTGGTCATTTTTCTTCAACGAGCCTCAGTTTTCAGCACAACTCATCTTCCACAATCTTCTTCCCTCAACTTCGACAGTGTTATCGACTACAGCCTTTGTTCTATCACCTCTTTCATGCCTGTTTATGTAGAAAAAATCACAAATGGAGCTGCAGAAACAGAGTGGAGCGCTGTATTCCGAAAAGTTGCTCCACATTTAACTGAAGAATCCGATAGCGCATGTATAAAGATTCGAATAACTAGTGGAGTACTTCCAACCGAATCAGTTAGCAATGAGATCCTATTCAATATTGGAGAATCATTTGAAAATGACCTCAAGTCGATAGTAGTCCAGTCATCACATCTTCGGTAAGTTTTCAGGAACCTCTATGCTTTTCGAATTTCGAAATTTTCAGCTCATTTGATTTTGCTCTACAAGTCAACCGGACTACAGAGAAACGCGAGCCAGTTCCTTTGCTGCCACTAAATCGAGAAAATCTAATTGGTCTAGTAATTGGAAGCAATCACAAGATGCTGAATTTATCATCTTTGGAAGAATCGTTCAAGCCGGCGACCCATAATAGAATCATTCAAAAATGTTATCAAGAAAAAACCGAATGTGGACCAGAAATCACAAGACGGATCTATGCATCATCTACGTTTTGTTTCATTCTTGAATCTGATGACTTCCTCGATAATTTCATGACTTCCCTTGAAGTTGGATGCGTTCCAGTCGTTCTGTCAAACACTCAGCCACTTCCCTTTCAAGGATTGATTGACTGGCGACGTGCCACTTTTAGACTTCCTATTGCTCGTCTTCCAGAAGCTCATTTCATCGTTAGATCATTTGAGAATAGTGATATTCTGGAAATGCGGAGAATGGGAAGAGTTTACTATGACTCTTACTTTGCTGATCAAGATACTATTGCTCGAAGTTTGTTAGCAGCTCTTCGCCACAAGCTGCTTATTCCAACAAAAGAGACCCGATCCAGTCTGAGAAATCAAGCAAAACCCTTGTTCAATTCAACATTCACTCCTCCAAAGGGTACTGTGGTCAATGTTCAACCCAATTTTGATGATGAATATCTCCTTGGACCATTGGAATCTCGTGTGGAATCAAATTCATTCGCTTACAACTTTTCTGAATTTCAACTAGTTGGTTATTTGTCACCATTACATTTGAATATCCAAATAACATTTTCAGTATTCTTACGACACCTGGAACACTATTTTCTCGCCACATCGTTCGAAGGAATTCATTATCAACTCGGCGGAGTTTCCAACAGAATCGGAATTCTACGAAGACACTCGCATTGGCTTCAGACCCATCGAGCCTGGAAGTGGCGTGGAGTTCAGTAAAGCGCTTGGAGGGAACAGACAGAGAGAGCAGTTCACAGTAGTGTTGCTAACATATGAAAGGGATACGGTACTCGTGGGAGCCCTGGAGCGGCTGCATCAACTACCGTACCTGAATAAAGTAGTGGTTGTCTGGAATAATATTCATCGAGAACCACCGGAGAGTTGGCCGTCATTGCATGTTCCTGTCGAATTCATTCGAGTTACGGAGAACAGTTTGAATAACAGATTCGTGCCATGGGACAGAATTGAGACGGAAGCTGTTCTATCGTTGGATGACGATATCGATTTGATGCAACAAGAAATCGTTTTGGCTTTTCGAGTATGGCGCGAGAATCGAGATAGAATTGTCGGCTTTCCAGCTCGCTATCACGCTAGATATGGCGATGCAATGTACTACAACAGCAACCATACTTGTCAGATGAGTATGATTCTCACAGGAGCAGCTTTCATTCATAAAGTATATTATATTGAACTATATACCCAACCGAAAACTTTCTTTCAGAACTACTTGAGTGCGTATACCTATCACATGCCTGCGGTTGTTCGAGAACACGTCGACAGTATCAAGAACTGTGAAGACATCGCAATGAACTTTTTAGTTTCCCATCTGACCAGAAAACCTCCAATTAAAACTACTTCCCGATGGACTTTAAAGTGGGTCGACAATATATTTATCATTTCGAAGCACGGTTCATTTTCAGATGCCCAACATGCACAGAAAGTTTGTTCAAAGAAGATTCTCATTTCGATAAACGCCATGAATGTATACGGATGTTCACTAAAATTTACGGATACAATCCACTAAGATTTTCCCAATTTCGCGCTGACTCTATCCTATTCAAGACTCGGCTGCCTCAGAATCATCAGAAGTGTTTTAAATATGTGTAAATTAATTGCATTTGCTTCTTTCTATGTTACCGGTACTTCTTGTAAAATGGTGCTTTGATGTTTATTTTAACAAGTTGTTTAAAATTTTTAGGCGAACATAAATATGAAATCAGCATTGACATTGATTTGGGTGCCCAGCCAACCATTTCTTTAAATTCATTCGCACAATGATCAAACAGCAATTGTACAATCTTCCAAACAGCCCAGTTGTGTGCGTAGAAAACACCGGTTGGGCATGCTAATTATTTTTAAGTTAAGAAATTAATCGGCATATGAAATGTATAAAATGGTAAATTTTTAGATGGGAAGGGGTTGTGAGATTTGAAAACAAGGATGTTGAAAGGTTAAAATATTTAAAGATCGTCGTCGTCATCCGGAAGATCAGCCTTGGCGGCGTTGTCCAGATCCTTCTCGTATTCAGCAATCATGGCTGGGTCCATTTGAACCTGGAACAAGAAATTTAGTATAGATTCTGAATACGTTGTTATTTACCTCTGGAGGAGCCAAAGCTGGCATGGCAACGAACTCGAGATTTGGATCTCCGAGCAGCTTTCTGGCGAGCCAAAGGAATGGCTTTTCGAAGTTGTAGTTGGACTTGGCGGAAATGTCGTAGTATTGAAGGTTCTTCTTTCGGTGGAAAGTGATAGTCTTGGCCTTGACTTTACGATCCTTGACGTCAACCTAGAAACCGAATAACTAATTTGAACAAGACAGAACTTTATCAAATACCTTGTTTCCGCAGAGAACAATTGGGATGTTTTCGCATACTCTGGCCAAGTCACGATGCCAGTTTGGAACATTCTTATAGGTTACACGAGCAGTGACATCGAACATGATGATGGCGCATTGACCTGTAAAAAAAGTATATTAAAATTGACTCTTGTGAAAATAGTACCTTGGATATAGTATCCGTCACGAAGACCACCAAACTTCTCTTGTCCAGCAGTGTCCCACACGTTGAAACGAATTTGTCCGCGATTGGTGTGGAAGACGAGTGGATGTACTTCGACTCCAAGTGTAGCTGAAAATAGGTTTTAAGAAGAAATAACAAGATTTCTTTTAACTTACCGACATACTTCTTCTCGAATTCTCCAGTCAAGTGACGCTTGACGAAAGTGGTCTTTCCGGTACCTCCATCTCCAACGAGGACAAGCTTGAAAGTTGGGATGCCGTCTCCACCAGACATTGCTGAAATGAGAAAATAATTATCAGAAAAAAAAAGAAAAAGCAGCAAGAATATGAAAATATACGAAAAAGCTTGGCAGTCGTTGTTGCGAAATACTTCAAAAAGCCTGAAAGAGGTCTCGTGACTAAATCTTGAGCTCATATTGAAACTCGAAGAGCACAAAGACATCTAGAATATCAAGCTTAGAACCTTTCAGAAACAACTGAACGGATGAAAAACTGAAAAAATGATGACAAAACACAGATTCTGGAGCCTGGGTGATGGGTGTTTAAAAAAATGGCGAATAACCGACGATTTACGCGCCAAAACGAAAAAATTTCGAAAAACGATTTCGTAGCGCCCCTTGTGTGTTGAAGAGTAGGGGCACACACGCAGCGATGAAAAGACCCCTTGGCACAATGCCAGTGCAGGTGCGCCAGTAGATTTTCAAAATATCGATTGGAGTTTTGGCGAGTTCTCCAGTTGAAAACCCCTTTTTGGACATAAAAATAGAACAATAAAATTTTTTTTTCAGTAACGATCTCAATATGGGCAAGAAAGACAAGCGCTCCAAGCTCGAGGGTGACGAGCTTGCCGTAAGTTTTTGTCTTGAAAATTGAAACAATAATAAAAACGAATTTCTTCCAGGAAGCTCAACAGAAAGGATCTTTCCAACTTCCATCATCGAACGAAACAGCCAAACTCGATGCTTCTCAATGGCCTCTTTTGCTGAAGGTATTCGTTCTACAGCACATCTCAAACCTAAATTTAAATTCTAGAACTACGACAAGCTCAACGTTCGTACCAACCACTACACACCTCACGTTGAAGGAGTTTCTCCACTCAAGCGTGATATCAAAAACTACATCTCATCTGGTTTCTTCAACCTCGACAAACCATCCAACCCATCGTCTCATGAGGTCGTTTCCTGGATCAAGAGAATTCTTCGCTGTGAAAAGACCGGACACAGTGGAACACTCGATCCAAAAGTTTCTGGATGCCTCATCGTTTGCATCGATCGTACAACCCGATTGGCAAAGTCGCAGCAAGGAGCTGGTAAAGAATACATCTGCATCTTCAAGCTCCACGAGGAAGTTGAGGATGAGCGCAAGGTGAAGCAAGCTCTTGAGAAGCTCACTGGAGCTTTGTTCCAACGCCCACCACTGATCTCTGCTGTCAAGAGACAGCTTCGTATTCGTACTGTCTACGAAAACAAATTCATCGAATATGATCCAGCTCAACAAATGGGAATTTTCAAGTGAGTTTCTTTCAATTTCATAGCTATCAAACGGATGTTGTTTTTCAGCTGCATTTGCGAGTCTGGAACCTATGTCCGTACAATCTGCGTTCACCTTGGTCTCATTCTTGGTTGCGGAGGACAAATGCAGGAACTTCGAAGAAACAGATCCGGAATTTGTGATGAAAACGAGAACATGGTCACTATGCATGACGTCCTCGACGCTCAGTATATGCTGGACACCCAAAAGGATGAAAGCTACATGCGACACATCGTCCGTCCACTTGAAGCTCTTCTTACACAGCACAAAAGAGTTGTTGTGAAGGACAGTTGCGTTAACGCAATTTGTTATGGAGCCAAGATCCTCATTCCTGGAATTCTTCGCTACGATGATGACATCGAAGTTGGAAAGGAGATCGTCATTATGACGACCAAGGGAGAAGCAATCTGCATCGCTATCGCTCAGATGAGCACTTCCACTATTGCTTCAGTCGACCATGGAATCGTAGCTAAGTCGAAACGTGTGATCATGGAGCGGGACGTCTATGGAAGAAAGTGGGGACTGGGACCAGTAGCCTCAAAAAAAAAGCAGATGGTCAAGGATGGACTTCTCGACAAATTTGGAAAGCCAAACATCACCACCCCAAAATCGTGGGCCAAGGAGTACGTGCAAACTGATAAGGTGAAGAAGGAACAAGAGGACAAAGAAGATGAAGAGGAGGAAGAGGCTCCAAAAAAGAAGTCGAAGAAAGCAGCGAAGAAAGAAGTGTCGAGCAGCAGCGACAGTGAATAAGAACGCCGTGCCTTGATTTGTTAACTATTCAACTATCCATTTTTACTTGTTTTTCCCTCTTCCCACATTACTCCACCGGGTTGAGCTGTTACAAGTTGTTCAAATTGTCTTATCTTTTTTTCCTTGTTGTGTTTTTGTTTTCCTTTCTAAGCACCTTTTTGTTGTACCAACTTTGTTGAACTTTATATGAATCATAAATGCAATTAAAATGCGAGATCGTAATATATTAATGTTTCAGATGTGTCCCGGGAAGAGATCGTCGTCGTTGGGAATCGTATCGACAACAATCGAGCATCGCGGTGGGCTACTGTTCGAGCTCTCGTCGAACAGAGACATGAAAGGATCCGGTTCGCCTCCACTTTCCATTGGTTCATCTACTGGGTCTGGAGGGAAACTTGTGGACAAGGTGTCACTTGGTTCCATGTGAACATCATCGAGTAGTAATGAGCTAATCGGCTGAAATTCGTTTTTTTGGTGATTCTTAAAGCAAGTATAAATATACCATTTCAGGGCGTCCGAAACCATCTGGCAATCCGGTTACCTCTCTGTTTTGGACTACTGGTTCAGGGTTCTGAAAAAATCAAAAACAATTAAATTTTTTCTGTTTTGTAGCGGAATAATTCCGCCGAAATCATTACAATATCAATTCCTTCTGGCATTTCTGGCCACTCATCGTCTTCGTCATCGATTTCAACGGTTCTCTTTTTCCCTTCCTCAAACCGTTTCTGTCTTTTATCCATCTGCCTTCTCAGAAAACTCCCATACTCGTCGACGAACGGTCGGTACCTGAAAAACAAAAAAAAACAACAATTTTTAAATTTAAGAAAGGATTTATTGTGCTTTCAAAATGGATTTCAGTTTGGGGGGGGGGGTAGGAGAATAATATATTAGGAAAACCCTCTCAATCTGATTGGGGACATGATGATAAAACGGAAGGAATGAAATACGACAAGTATTTAACGAATTGAGATTCCGAGTTCTAAGAGTAGTCGACATTAAGTTTGCTTTCGTAGAATTTGATAACGTGGTGTGGATAGCTGAAATTATTCATTGTTCTAATAGTAAGCTAGCCAAGATAATAGGGGGCCCCGCCGAGCAAGTGTTCTCAAAGTAGAAGAACTAACCGACTGTTGACTTCCTTTGCTGGAATGAGTCGAGCAGTGTCATCAGTGAACTTGCACAAAAAGTGAAGATCTCCGGGGGTTTTTGTAATCCCGACAATGCATTTCAACTGCTTTCCATGCAGCGAGAAATTATCCTTCGTGAACACTTCTTCCTCATTTGGAGTTTCTAGTGATTCTGGAGCTGGCTGTTGCTTTGAAGTCGACTGCTGTTGTTTTGAAGTTGAACGCTCTGGCGATTTCAGCTTTCTACGTGACGGCTTCTCGCGCTGAAAGTATCAGTTTATAACCGAAACTAAGACATCTGCAAACCTTGGCAAACTCCTTTTCGAATTCTTCCAACAAATCGATACATTGAAGATTTTCTCTCGGCTCCCAACTGGAATCAGATGCTGGGAATCCCTGTGAATCAAAAGTTCATGATGATAAAAAAACGTTTCACTAACCTGCCATTGGATCAGAAACTCTTCTCTTCCGGCCTTTCCGGATCTTTTGTCAAGAACTTTTTCGACCATAAAGACATTGTCTTTCTGAAAAAAAAAAATTCTCAAGCTACTTTGGAAAAAAGTCTTACCGGATCGTCCATTTTTGCCTTTTTTGCTTTGCCAGACATTTTTAATCGATTCGTATCTGCGAATTAGAATTTAATTCAGCAACGAGAAAAGGAGGAAGAAGAGAGTGGCGTTTGAATGTTACGGGTTCGAAGCAAGATGCGGCGCAGAAAAGTGGGCGGGGCTTTGGAGTAACTGCGCGCGGGTTTGCGAATTTACATGTCAGTTATTGATCAGCTGTTGATATTGCTGTCTGAAAATAAGGTTAGAAAAGTGTATGCGGAAGTGTATCAGAGAATATCTCGAAACGAAAAACAAAATAACACATGTGAAGTAAAGACAAAACGAGGTAATCAGGTGTCGAAGGGACGTTGGGAATAACCCCATTTCACGGTCTTCTAGCGTGAAAATTTTCGATTAGAAAACTACAGGAAAAAATGTCACTGCGTCTCTTCATCTCTCACGCTATTTTAGCTCAGTACAATTTTTCACAAATTTAATTGGAAAACTGGATGAACAGCTAAGAACGTTTCAAAAACGTTTAAAGATGGATAATTTTAGAAAATTTTTTTATGGGTAGTAGAAATCATATCCTAGATTGTCTGTAAGAAGTTTCAAAACTTGTCTCAAACTATCAAGCAAGAAATGAAGCTTTGAAAAACTTTTTTGGATTTTCCGAGTCTTTAAGCAACTCTTCTTGTTCTATTTATGAGCAAATGAAGTTACTATCATGTTAGAAAACATAGGAAATTTGACATTTGATTGCGTTTTGCAAAAAAGACAACCTTTAACTAGGGACCACAACATTTTTTTCAAACAGCTTTTTTCCAAAATCTTTTTATTTTATAATAATCTCCTTTTCCTAATTAGCATATTTCCAAATTTTCGTTCAAAAATATTCACTCATTCCCGAGTTACAGCTCATTTTGTGCTCCTCATTTTCCTCCATTTTCGCCCCCAGCATTGCGCGCACGCGGAAAAGTGGGCGGGGCGACGACAGCGCAAGGCTGCCGCGCGGAAGAAATGAACGGTTTTCTCAAGAGATGTTCTGTTGAAATTTAGGTTTCAGAGGGCTGGAATAGAATAAAAACTTGTCGGAAAGTGTGGAAAAAAGGGTTTTGAATGTGTTTAGTGTGATAACAAACCTAATTTTACGAATTTTTGCCGGAAAATGATTCGAAATCGGAAAAAATTGAAAAACTGCGAAATTACTGAGAAAAAAGCTGAAAAATGAAGTTCTAGAGAAGAAATCACTATCAATGAATCCTAAAGGTTCTGCTACCATTCATAACACCTCATAGAATTAAAAAAAATTTCAAAAAAATTATTCCAAAATGGGACTCGAACCCGCATGTCTCCGATTAGCACACACCCAGCTTAACCAGTACACCAAACGCGCACCTCAACTGTCAGCGCAATGTTTTCTTGCTGGAATATGTATGTCACAGATATCATCTTATGTGAAATTTTTTGTTGAATCTGAATATATGAATAACGAAGGTGATACAAATCTCTATTCATGCTAAATTTGAGAAAAACCAAAAAATTCATTAAGTATGCCATCTTCCGACCGGAAATAAACACTTTTCTAATCATCCAATTTTGTTCAAAAGTTGTATATGTAATGTTGAAGCGTAGCATTATCTATAAAAAACATAATTTTTATGTGTTGCCGCAGAAAATTTTCACAATATTTACAGCCAGTTTGGCTGAAATGTGCAATTCTGCGCTAACTCCTCACAAGATTTCACTTTAATTTTCCATTAGAGAATGTCTTCAGTTACTCGAAACATCAGAAATGGAAAGTGATACAAACTCCGATTTCTTTTACCATTCATTTTTCTGCCGCCCACTTCGGTTTTTCGGTTTTTTCTTTTCTCTTGTAGATTTTTCAGTAAAAACAATTACATTTTTATTAGGTAATTAGGCTCCGCCCCTTTTTCAGTGGTCGCTACCTTTAACCAACTGGAAATTGCCTTCAAAGTCCAAAATCGCTCAATGTACTACTGTTTGACCCCCTAACACCGGAACAAAGACGAAAATCGAAAACGAAGGAATTCTAGAACAATCCATTACGAAACTTTTGGTCTATTGATCATTTTGATTGGTTAGATACTCGCAGAGTTATGCAGGATTCAAATTTCAGTACAAAGTTCCCAAAACCCCCGATTTTTGACACTTTTTCAAGATTTTCAAGAAAATGAGGACCTAAACCAAAAATCGAAGACGAAGGAATTGTGGCAACTGTCTCTGCGGTATTGATGACATTTTTATTTTTTTGATTCCGTAAAAACCTGATAGACTTACTCTCGGTTGAATGAAAACGGTTTTTATCAATTCGGTGTTCATTGATTCATAACTTTGCTCAAAATGCTCCAATTTCCATAAAATTTAGTGCAGGTGATAACTGAAGTCTTCAGTAACACAGCAAATAATTTTTCCTCTAAAAAAGAGGTCAAGTTCGTACTTTTCTTTGATTTCCATGACTCTAGTGATAAGTTTCTATTAGTCAAACAGGAGAGAAAAGGGAGAATTAAAATTTGGCTAGAGTGCAGACAACGAGAGAACTTTTCCAAAAATTTTCACTCTGGGAGACCATGCATTTTAAAAATTCAATTGTTAGAAATCCCACTTTCCTATCACAAAAGCGCTTTAAAATAATCATAGAAATAATTTTATTGAAAATAAGAAAAAGTAAAAAGGCATCAATCCTCGGTTTCTTCGCCATCGCTTTCGGAATCATTTTCTCCGCCTTCAAGACCTTCGACATCTTCCATCTGAATTTCTTGTTCTTCATCTAAGCCTTCGCCATCGGGAGCGTCTGCTTCGTCATGACCGTCAACTTCGGGACCTTCATCTTGTTGTTCCAGATCATCTCCGTGTTTATGGCTACATCCCTCATGCGCAGATGCTTCTTCTTCCTGTTCTTCTTCTTCTTGTTTTGCTTCTTTCTCGGCTTCCAATTTCTTCTTTCTCTTCAGGAAGTTTATCAAGTCTTTAGCAGCGTTCATAATCTTCTCAGTATTCTGATGGCAAACGGGGCATTTCGATGATTTTTTGAAAGCATTCAATGCACACATGGTACAAAAATAGTGCTTGCACTTGGTGACAATGGGATCAACGAATGGGTTGCCGCAAATGAAACAATCTTCTGGGAAAGCATCGTCTTGATCACGAATTTCATAATCCTCATCATCTTCTACGCCATACTTTCCGGCTTCGTATTCTTCGTCGATTTCCCATCCGTGCTTGTAATCCGAGCGATCGTGAACGAATTTGCAGGAATCTGAAATTTATTGAAAGCAATTTGCAAGAAAAAAAATTAGAAACTGATTAAAACTTACCACCAAATGTACAAAATCCAGTTTCCTTGTAGTCTTTGCAAATATCCGGAGCGAAATCCCAACGCACTGTTGCACGAAGAAACTGGGAAGCTCGAATTGGACCAACTCGATTATACATACTTGACGCGTTTCCTTTTGCTGTATCTTTAGCTTCTTTCGCACCATACATCGCAGTTCCTTTGTAAAGAATCTTTCCATCTTTTTCAACTCCTTCCTTCAGTTGCTGTTGAACACGTTCGAATTGAGCTTGAGAATCTCGGGAATAGTCTGTATCGATCTCAACGGTTGATGTTGCTCCTTGATCCAGAGGTCCAGATGGCCCAGCTTCTCCTGTAGCCGCAAACGAATGTGTTGCCACTGCAATGTTCGCATCATCTGAATCATCGGAATCATCTTCTGAATGTTGAGCGTTGTTCATTTCTTTTTTCTTCGTCTGAAAAAAGATTTGATTTTAATTAACTAGAAAAAAATAATTACCGATTGAATCATTGGGTTAGCTCGACGTCGCTTTGCTATCAAATCCTTGACATTCTCTTCAGGCTCTTCATCGCTAGAGCTCTCTTTCTTTCGCAGAACCTGTGTTGGGGCAGTCCGTTTTTTGGGCTTACGAAACAAATCCATTTTCTGAAAAAAATAAACATTTATTTAGGCTGAATTCAGTACAATTGTAAATCGGACAAACGAGAAATACGATCAAACGATTGAAGATGAGAAGAAGAACTATTGGGATCAAACAATAGAGATCTACAACCAAAGCTTTTAGCACCTTCAAAGTCGTTTTTATAATTATCGCCTATATGCAAGATTTCAGATGCGAGGGGAAGATCAAAGTGATTGAGAATCAATTGGAAAATTCGGCCATCAGGTTTTTCAAACCCTATTTCACCAGAAAGAATTATCATCGAAAAGAGATCAGATAAATTGAACTCGGAGAGTATAGTCTTCAATCGGCTGTCGAAATTCGAGGTGACTACTAAAATAATGCCTTTCAGACGGAGTCGTTGCAGCGCTGACCGAACCTAAAATTTTTCCGATGGAGTTCTTCGTAATACCAAGAAATACTATTTACATCATCTTCAACCAGCTTCCAAGGTTCTGGGGTTGAGTAGTGGTTGTAGAGATCGCCCGCAATGCGTTCGCGTAGTTCTTTTTCAGAAAATGGTGAACACTGAAAGATATGAGTTACAACATTGTTCATATTCATTCAGCTCACGTCCTGAAGTGTTGCTGCAACCAAATTCTCCCACCAGACCCTTGCTCCAGTATCCTTGAATCCAAAACACGGTGAATCAACAGACATCCTTTTATAATTTTTCAGAAAGTTCTTGAAGATGCTCTCGGATTCAATTTCTAATCCCGCATTTTTGGCAAACCGAGAATACACTACGCTAGGATTCTCTTTCAGTGTGATAAGTGTATCTCGAGCGTCTAAAGACAAGACTTTCACCACAGGAGGAATAGTGAGATTACGAGAAGTTGTACGAAGAAGCTTGGTTAGCATTCCTAGAAGGACAAGATTTTAAAATTCTAGGGGAAAATAACAGAGAATCGGAAGAATGGAGAACTTCAATTAATCATATTTTTACTATTTAACAGATGAGCAAAGATGGCTGCTAATTATCGCAGAAAATTCTGAAAACTCAAAAAATCAGATTCAAATTTTTTTTTTCTCTTTTTCTTCGCTTTTCACGTTTCGAATTCGAAAAGAACCTCTCCCCACTCTCCACTCGCGCAACGCTCTCTCGCTCTTCGCGACTGGTGCACACCCGTACACTCGGACACAACACGCTCCTCAGATGTGCGACATGCGCGCGAAGTTGAAAATGGCCGAGTCTCGTGCTCAGGTCACGCGCGGCCTAGTTTTGCCATGTGATTTAGGACGGCAATTCAAATGATCACATTCCCTCGTGCTTTGCAGCGCTCTTTTTCGTCTAAACCCGTCGAACTCGTGCTTTTTTCTTCTGAAAACTGCTCGCTGTGCATCCATTTCCATAGGCAGTTGCAACACTACCTTAAAAAACATCCAAATTTCGCGATTATTGAGAAAAATCTCGCCGCAGAGACGCCGGAAGTGATCGAAGTGAGATTTTTTGCCGATTTTTTTTGCACATCGTTTCAAAACCTATTTTTTCTTACATAAAAGAAGGATATTTTAAAATTTCAGAGATTCAAATACGACATTCCAGTCTTAGTGGACGCCAACAACAAAGTTATATTGAAACATCGATTTAGTGGAGCTCTTCTCGAAGAAAATCTCTCAAAGTGCAACTAATGAGTAGATCTAGAAACAAACCAGAGTGCACGCAAGTGATGGCTGTTCATGGAGGTTTAGAAGTTACTTTATCGATTTTTCTAATGTTTCTCATTTAATAGGTGCATGTGCCAAGTTCGACCCAAGCATTGGCGAAGATTGCAGTTATGCATGTGGCACCGGCACAGTTGAAAGTGCTTTAACAGTAAGTTGAAATGATATTCTAGCATTTTTTGTAAAAATTTGATTGTAGGATCTTGAAAGAATTGAAAAATTCAACTGTGGATTCGGTTCACATTTGACTATCGATCAAGAAGTTGAATGTGAAGCCTCTTTTATGTCATCCAAAAATATGAGGTTTTAAAACCAAACATTTATTCTAAAAAAGCAGTTTTTGTTCAGTTTTGGTGCTGTCGGTGCCATTTCGAATGTATTTCATCCGTCAAAAGTTGCTCGACATTTGGCTAGTAATAATTGGTGGAAACAACGCGACCTACTCCATCCGCTCATTCTTGTTGGTCGTGGAGCAGAAAAATATGCAGTAAGAAACGGTAAAATTCGTTTTTAACTCAACAATTTCGGTTCAAAATTGATGATGTTTTTAAAATTTCAGATTTCCCAACGTGCAATCCAGAAGAACTTATCTCTAATCAAGCAAAAGATAGTTATGAAAAATATCTACACCGAATGCTACATCCATATGACACACATGACACTGTAGGAGCAATTTCAATTAATGTAAATGTGAGTCGAAAACATAAACATGTTGTCGTATTGGAACATTTTCTTCCAGAATATGGAAGCCGAATCAGCTACCTCAAGCGGTGGAATCGTACTGAAACACTCGGGACGACTCGGTCATAGTTGTGTTTACGGCAGTGGCACGTGGTCAGAAAGGAGGCAGTATGAGGAGCCTGGTGATCTGTATAGTGAACGTACAATTTCAATAGTTTCGACGGGACATGGCGAGCATTTAGTAAAAGCTGATTTTTGTAGAGGAATCGCTACCAGAGTACTGTGAGTCAATTTTCTTCAAAGAATTCAGCTATTGTCAGAAAAAGGAGAAAAGTGTTGGTTCTAAAAATTTCAAAATCAAATTTTACAAATCAGTAGGATGTGCTGGAAGACATAGAGAATTTGGGAAATTTGAGAAGTGTTGCAAATTGCGAGTTCCATACTGCCTATGCAATAAAATCTGAGCAAGGGGCGGGGCTAACTCAACACGCCCCGGGCATGTCCATACTTGTAAAACTCCGGGCCGGCCCACCAAAGCCCGGGCCCGGTAGCAAAAATTTTGTCATTTTGAGCCAAATTTTGAGCTCTCAATACAATTTTCTCCATCATTTTTTGTTTTTTTGGATTGTTTGTCTGTTTGTTCGAAAAATATTTGAAAAACTCGAAAACAATTTTTTGATCGAAAAAAATCACATAACAGTCCCCCCTTATGTGTTTTTTGAAATTTTCAAAACTTGTGGAATGACAGGCCCGCCGGGCCGGGTCTCCGAAATTCGGGAAAAAGCCCCGCCCGGCCCGGCCCGTTACAAGTATGGGCGTGTCACTTTGCAACCTGCGGCGCCCCCACGTTTTATTGTACAGACAATAGGTTTTTAATAAAAAAATGTTGAGCTCGTATTTTGATACCATTGTGTTTCTCAATATCGGTTTAATCTAAAAATATCATTTTGCGAGCTTGATTACGAAAAAAACTAATTCTCCTGACCTCAAAAAATCTACTCAAATTTCCCAAAAATCGCTCACGTATGATTATGCTAGTACAACATTCAAGCTTTGGAAAAGAAACGCTGATGTAGCCGAAGGTCCCACAACGACAATTAGCGTAACCTACATGCATATGTTTCCTCCTTCTATTTGCCTCTTACCTCTAATTAGGCTCCTCCCCACAAAAAACGTCTAACGATCAAGTGATAGAAGGGGCGAAGAGGCTAGACGACGAGACATGCTAAGCCGCGCGTGCGTGCGTGCACACCAACCATTAGAGAACCATTGATTTTTCAGCGACGATGAAGAAGGCATCTTATATAGCGACATCATCCGAGAGTTTCTACGAGACAAAATGGAATCGTATGTACTACTTATCTTATTGTTTTTTACAGTCAATCAATTTTCCAGTAGAGCTCGGTTTGGTGGTATTGCAATGATCGCTGACAAGTTCAATGAGCGAATGTCATTAGAGTTTCTTGTTTTCCACAATACTCGATATCTACCGGCTGCAGTACGCGGCAGAGATAATAAAATTCAGGTGTATGAATCAAAATTCGATCCCGACAGTTGTACTGATGATAAATTTGTAATCGAATCTTTCCGACTTTAATAATGATATCAATAAAGAATTCTGTAAATACATTTCTGTTCAATTCTCCTCTAATTTTTCCCCTATTGTCGTTGATTCCTCTCGACTTCCTTATTTGCGTTCAACTGTCTTCCCCTTTGTTCGTTTCCTATTAATTTTCTAAACTTTATTTTCACAGGGATCATAATATGCCACCGAAAAAGCATAAAAAGCCAGTGGACGCTCCACCGTCCCCATCGCAAGTAGATATTGCAGATTTACAGTCGAGGTATGATGTTTGAATCGAATTTTTGGTAGAATATCATATTTACTCTCAGCAAGTTCAAGCTTATTGCGGAGCTTATCGCCGAAACTGATCAGAATCTTCCTGATGACGAAATCGATCAAGCTATTGAAGAATTCGCGAGTTCTGGAGACCATTCCGAATGGCAAGGAATCGAGAAAGCGTTTCCTTATCTTTGTTCCATGGCTCGACGATCATCGACTTACGGAAATTGGAGGAAGCGATTCCAAGTTGTCGACTATCTTCTTTCATGTGAGGGAACTGGAGCGTTTATCAGCTGACACGAATAACTTATTCAGGTTTCCAAGAATTGTATACTGATGTGTCCAGTAATGTCGAGAACTACTTCGATCAAAAAACGGATTCAGAACCGGACGTTGAAATCATCCATGCTGTCAGCATGTTTGTGATTCTAGCTTCGAAACTCATCGTTCAACTCCAATTGCATGTGTCGAAAGTAACCGCTGAAAGTAATCAAGGCAAACGAGGAGGTGGTAGAAGAGACCTAGATGAAGAAACTGCCGAGTACTGTGCTCGCTGGAAGAACTACCAGAGAAACCGGGTATTTTTTTGTTGAAATTATAAATTATGTTCCTAAATCATTTCTTCCAGATTATCGGCTGCCTCATTCAACTTCTTGAGCTCCGCGTTGACACTGCCGGCGGTTTGAAGAAGAAAGCGATCCAATATATCTTCGCACCAGACGCCATGGAAAAGGACTTCATTGCGTAATTATATTTATTATCAGGTCCCCGTGTCCTAATGTTAAACTTCAGACGCTTTATGGATACTGTATCTCAATTGCTTGAAGATCCGGAGAACGCCGCACGTTCAAGTCAAGCATGGATTGTGTCTTACTTTGAGATATGGAAGGTTCTCGCAACAGAATACCAAATGGCACCTTGTATGACTTTGGCAAAGCCTTCTGAGAAAATTAATTTGATTACAGATATCGCCAACAGCATTTTTGGAGATACACTTGACCTGCCATATCTGGAGACAGCGAGTTCCTTTCCATTCATTGAGCCAATCGTTCGCATGATGAAAGATAACAGTGCTCCCGGAAGAAACAGAATCAATCGTATGCTTTCCCTTATTTCTTATAGCGTTACAATCATATTTTAAACATTTCAGAACCACTCCGTGCACTATTGGAGATGTGCGTAAGACGTGCATGCTCTGTCTACTCTGGCGATCGAGCTGAACATCCCCCTCCAAAAGCATTCTGCATGATCATCCAGGCGCTCGCACTGCATTGTCCGGACGTTATGCTTCAAGAGGTTAACAATGTGGTCCGACTACTCGAGAATCCACATGTCAACGTTCGGATGGCCACCCTTCAAGCTTTAGCCGACATGTTCGCATCGCCGTATTTGTCAAAAGAACTCTGTGAAGAATTCAAGACCCGTATCGACAAAAGAAAAATCATTTTCACCAGATTATGTGCTCATGTAATTGACGAAGGAACGAATGTTCGCACGAAATCCATCTCACTTCTTCGAAGTCTAATGGAGAATCGGCGCATTCCAGAAGAGTTCGAAAGTCTAGGATTTTTGACATTGGTTGCTGGACGTTTAAACGACAAGTCAGTGCAAGTCCGCAAGGCGGCCATCCAATTCTTGACTTCTTTCTTGGACAACAATAGACATGGACACGATGTACTTAATTTTATTCAAAAATGATTATAATAATGTGTTTTTACAGTTTTCAAAAGCTGTCCATGTGAATCTGATGCAAGAAAAAAGGCTGGAACTACTACGTCTGAACACGCCGAAGTCACGAGCGATTCAGCAAGCAGAAGACGAATACATGGCAAGAGACTTCCGACTGAAGACCGACATCAGGCACGAACTCACGGGCATTTTCAAAGGAGAAGTGTCCATCAGTAGAGAAGACGATATAATGTGGGTTTTTGAAGATAAGCGTAGTAATCAATTTCGAAGCTATTTCAGACCTCTCGCCATCCTGTTAACGGATTTAGATCGTCCTGGAGTAGGCGCCGGTCTCGCTCGATTCTATGCGTCTCAAGAAAACTTCCCGTGGTGAGCTTTTTAAAACCCAGTTTTCAGACAACAGCCGTTAACCTACAAATAACAAGAATCTTATTTCAAAGTTACAACAGAAATAATCAATTTTTAGCAATGCCACCCGCCGGAATGATCTTCCAGATCATGGTTTGGAGTTGTTGGATGAAGCAGTTAGGCACGTGCATGAATCCGGAAAGCTCGACTATCAGCAGTTCAAGGTGAGACTATCTATAATGAATATATTTAAAACCTCCGTTTCAGCTCCAAATTCTTCGGAATAACGACGACCAACTTCTGGAAGACGAGCAAGAAGCGAGGGATCATAAGCACAAAGTCCAGCAGTTGAGAGCGCAAATGCAACAATTGATCAACAAAATGTTGATTGGACTTGAACTCGAGAAAGCTCTGACTATTGCTCTTCGTTGTGTCTTGATGGGAGAAACTGCTGAAATCAAAGAGGGAATCAAGTTCCTTACTCGTTGTAAACTGTTCGGGATCGCTGGAGCGGATGATGCCATGCGTTCCATGTGCTCACTAGTCTGGCGACCACATGCGGATGTCCTCAATGAACTTATTGAAGCAGCCGAAGACATGTTCATCAGCAAATTAGAGGGAGGCGAAAAAGCAGCTGAAAGAGACAAATCTACAGTGGAAAACCTGATGTCTGCAATGGACGGAGTGGCAAAAGGAGATCAAGCATCAGTTGAAGAAGTCGTTTACCTTCTTGCCTCGAAGGAGTTGCCAAGTACGCTTGGTGAGAAGAATAATAAAGCACCACGAAAGAGGAGGCCAATGGAGACCTCTGTCATTATTAAACTTTGGCATATCGCTCTAGACACTTCCATTGGAAATGACAACCGCAAATTGGTGGCACTCAAGATATTGTTCCCGATTTCAAGAACTGAGAAAGGTCTTCCGGAAGCACGTAGTAGACTACGGTCACTACAGAGAAAGCTAGATGGGGATCCAAAGATTGCTGTGGCTGCTCTTCGAATCATCTCCATTTTGGGAGGACAAACGGAACAAGAGAAGGAGGCTGACGCTTTCAAGCGTCCAATTTTCAGAATTCATCAAGACGACTCATTGTTCAAGTCTATCGAAAATTTCTTCTTCCGTGGTAAGATTTTTTGGGTTCATTTTAAGTAAAAATATTGTGTTTTGTAGAAGTCGTGAAAGCCGATGACAGTCCTGATCGAGATTGGTTTGGCGTTGTTCGTTACACCGTACACATTCTGCTCAACATTTCTATGGACGCTAACATCATGCTTCCAAGACTTGCCTCTCATTTCTTGTATCGTGCTAAGAGGATCTCCGAGTTTTTCATCTTCTACAGCAAGCAAGCAGAAGGACCCGTCGTCGATCCAGTGAGAACTGAAGCCGCGATCCGACGCAGAGACTATTGGGGCTTGACATGGTGTCGAGTGATGGAGAAGCTTATGGCGTTCATTGGAGAAGTGGCCTCACAGGTTCACGCCTACACCCAAATTACCATTCCGCGTCTTCACACCAGATATATTTCGAAAATGAGAGATGCTGAAAAAAGCGATTCGAAACTACGAGAAGAGTCAGTTCGTTTCCTGACTGATTTGGAGAAGTCAATTGCTCAGAAGAAGACGATTTTCGCACTTCCCCCACAAGACAATACACAAGCAGCGACGACTGATCATTATTTCTTCGTCAAGCTCCTTTGTGATAAAAGACTCTTCATTCCAAGCAAGCTTCTAGGAAGACTACTACCAATTGTTGTATATGGAATGCGAGTTAAGACTATGCCCACTCGCATTAAGCAAGCTGCAACAATTGCTTTCGCAAAGTTCATGCCACTCAGGTGAGAGTTAACGGAACTTGGTTCGAAAATTTAAATGTATTTTTACAGTAGTGAAATTGCCTCGTTTGGTGCTCCATCGTTCTTCGGCTCAATGGTGAATTCCAACCATTCTCTCATCAGATGTAATATGATTGCTTCGTGCTGTGATTTCGCCTTTGCACAGCCAACAATCTTCGAACTCTATGCTCCCAATCTATTCAAAATGTTTGTGGTTCTTTATCCTGACAAAAAACGAATAATATATTTCTAGGTCGCAGGACAAGTCAGCAGATGCTCGAGAATCCGCTCTCTTGGTTCTCACCCATCTCATGTCCAACGATATGATCCAGACCCGCGGAGTTCTCTCTGAATCAGCCCGTTGCATTTGCGATACTGCTCGCCCTGTAAGAGAAGCGGCACAATCACTCTTCAGAGATCTGAATGCACGCAGTGAGACTGTCGTTCAACTTCTTCCGGAATTCTTGTATCGTCTGTCGGTCACTTCGGAAAGACTGTCTATGAAGCAGTACAAGACTGTGTTTGAGTAAGTTTATTTGTAGCTGCAGAAAAATCATGCTGTCAATTTTCAGATTCCTGATTGCACTTCTGAAGGAGAAGTCCAGAACAACAGATCTGATGATCGATCGAGTCTGTTTGAAGTTCTCGAATATTGAGTAAGTATATCATGTAGTAGACACATTTTTGAAACTATTGTATTTTCAGTATGAACGACACTGAAGCTCCAAAGTATCTTCTCATTGCTCTCGCCAAATTTGCCCAAAACGAAGGAGGCCTGGCCAGGGTAATTTTGAATTTTTATTTGTTTCCCGTCCTTCCTTTTTTTCAATAATTACTTTCTTTTCAGCTCCACGATAACTGGCGTCACTGGAGTAAGTTCCTGTGTCACTCACAAGTGGCCAGAGAGTACGTCCAAATGATTGAGCACATGCAAAGCGTTTCGAAGAACGAAGACTACAAGAGTCAATGCAGTGAACTGATCGCCAGCATCAAGAAGGTCAATGAGGAAGGTTTGAGGAAGGAGGATATTACCGCAGCGCCCCAAGCTGCAAAGGTAAGTGCCATAAAAGTTTTGATGATTTTCCACGGGACGATACCTCGCTTCTCTTTCCACAGTTTTCATTTGAAACGCATCATGAGAACTATTCTGGCTTTTTTCTTTCTGATTCTGACTTTCTATTCTGCATCTAGCGTCATCATTGAGAATAAAGATGGAAAGATGAAGCGAGGATATTCCGGACAACCATATTTTGGATAGATAATAATTTTGAGATATCTGTTCATTTTTTGGAATAAAATGCATTATTGTGAAAACTGTTTATCGCTTTTTAAAAGTTGCAGAAAAAGGGAAGAGGAAGAAAGGCGGCGGCAGCTGGTGCAGACACTCCGAGCACTTCTGCTGCTCGTACTCCGAGAAGAAAACGTGGTCCAACACCGTCATATGAAGAATCGGAATATGGTGAACAAATGGAAGAAGACGAAAGAGAAGAAGAGGAAGAAGAAGTAGAAGAAGTGTATGAAGAAGCAGAAATGGAAGAGGTACCAGAGGAGGAGGAGGACCCCGAATACGATTTTGAACAGTAAATAACCATATGATCCAGTCTTTACCATATTTAATTTATTGATATTTCCATACTTTTTACAATCTGTGAATACTCTTTTCTTTTCAAATCTCATGTTTTTTACAACCAATCTCTCTTGTGTTACTATCCATGTCGATCTCCCGTCCTTCACACAACTCCCCTCCTGAGAAACCCGAGAACTGATTGGTCTTGCTCCCCTTTTGTTTTCGTCTGTTCCCACTGTTTTCTTCTGATTCCTGTGCCGGAACTGACTCGGAGAACACGAAACTCGTTTCGTCTTCAGGACGTTGTGGTGATACGTTATACTTTCCTGTAACCCAATTAATATTATTGCTATTATTATTATTTATGAAGTGTGAGGAGTCGTCAATGTTGTGTTATGAATAATGCATTCGGAAACTGTAGACGGTTTCTCTTTTTCCCCTTCCTCGACAACAATGTTTTGGCTGTGTTGTGTCAAATCGAAGTGCAAACAAGCGCGAGCACAGTTGACAACCCCCGGCCTTTTTTCCTCCAATCTTCTAAAGATGCACCCTGTCTACTTCGACCGTTCCGATCATTAAGTGTCCAGATCTGGGAGTTTCTAATTTTCCATGCATAGCTGGCGCCGGAAAATTTCGCGGTTCTTGTCAATTTACGAAGCCCCTCCCCCAAATCCGATTTCAGTAAATTTAGAATTTAAAAAGTTGGGCGAATTTCCGTTCAAAGTGCATGAAAATTCATCAATTTCATCAAAATGAAGCAAGTTTTGTGTAAAACGTCCAGAATATTTTTCACTAAAAACGTACTGAAATGTTTGATTTGAAACAACGCATTTGAAGGAGCCCTTCTATTGCAAGGGACCTTACTACTTATCCAAGATCTTCTCAGAAAGTCCTCCTATTAGAGGGATTCTTCAATTAAAGGGGCCCTTGTAATACAGGTTTTACGTTAACGTTTTTTTTAAACTTAAAAATTTTGATTTTTTTTTCTCTCTCTCTCCCTCGCACTCTCGGCTGTTTATTTATATCCCGAGAACCATCTCCTCTTCCGAAAGTGACCATTCTCTCGTATCTCTTCGATTTTTTTTGTGTTATTTCCTCCTCTTGAGTGCTCGGTTCACGCTCAATTTTTCGGTGATGGTGGTGAAGGGAAAAAGAAGGGAAACCTCTTGAAAACTCGAAGAGCAAATTTCGCATTCTCACTCGCATCATTCATTTTGCTGCTCATCACAGAGAATTGCTTACTTGGTGAAAACGATACTTTCGAATCGAATTCACTGTTTCTTTTATGTTTCTCCCCCGTTTTTCTTAGGACATGTTCAGTTCTTTTTCTCGTGGAAAAGTTCAATTCGGAACTTTTTGGAACCAACCATATCATGTTACCTATTGACCTTGAAACGACTTTCTACAGGTTGAACAAAGACCAAAATGATGTGAGCAGAGGTCTGAGCAAATACAGTAACCCAGTAACTTAAGAAAATTGTTTTTTTTCCAAAATCCTGGTAACCCTAGATTTCATAAATTCTCGAGATTTAAGAAAATAATAGAAGTTCAAATACCGTAAACACGATTACCAACTTTTTTCCAAAGAAACTTCCAAACCTGAAATTTTAGAAAAATTCAGAAATTGGAAATTTCTCGAAATTTTGAAAATCACAAACGCTCTTGAAAACTTCAGAAAAACGAATAATGAAAATCTCAACTTTGAAAAACTTAAAGAATTTGTTCAGAGATTCAAAGTTCAAACAGTATCTGAAAATCTGAAATTCTGATGGTAAAAAAGGATGAGAATCCAAAATTATGCTTTGTTGAAAATCTGCAATTTCGAAAAAGAACATGCTTGCAAGTTTAGACTAATAAGAACTTAATCGGAAATTGAGGAATAAGAAATTCATGAAATTATGACTTAAAAGAAAAGAAACTTTCGAACTCCTGAAATTCTAAACGTTCATTGTTTACAAACCTCTCATCCAAAACTTGCAATTGCCCAGTTTATTTTTTTTTGCTTATTATAAATGTTTTTTATACTTTTCTAAATAATTTAGTTTCGATCGGACTACTGTAAACACTCTAATAGAAATCTACCCAACACTTGCACTTTGAGCTATTAGAGGAAATACGGTATTTTTTGAAAATCGTAATTCAAGACTTCGGTTACTGTATTTACTAAAACTCTAACACTATACACTGTATTTACTAAAACTCTAACACTATATTGAGATCAATTTGAGTATATGATTCTGAACATGATGAATTTTTGTTTTTACATCTTTTTCGTAGTTTTTTGAGGAAAACAAACACAATTGCAGACTATCGAAGGTGTTATTTCGGAGGGTCAACTGGGTAGAATTTCTGCCAAAAATTCGGAGGTACAACTCATTTCATTCAGGGGTACAACGCTTGTGATTCGGGGGTACAGCTTTTTTTTGAGGGAGTTTCTGAATTCCTGAATTTCAGAGCTTGAAAATCTCAGAATTCTTAGAATTTCAGAACTTTGAAATTTCAGTATTTCGGAATCTGAGAATTTCGGAACTTCAGAGTCTGAGAATTTCAGAATGTTAGAATTTCAGAACTTCGAAATCGCAGAACTTCAGAATCTCAATATTTTTGAATTTTTAAAAATTATGACAGAAAATTTTCACTTCTCATTGTCACATTGTTCTTTTTGATTTTGTGTCATATTTTTCACTCATCACGCTCTCCCACAGAACAATTCCGAACTGCAAATTAATTTTTGATCTACAGAAAAAAGTTTGGCGCGATCAAAATTGCAGGTCTAAAACCATAATTTCAGAATTTTTTATCTGATTCTGTGGAGATTGAAGATAATTCAAATGATTCTTAAAAAATTAATTAGTGGTTATAGATTCATGTATGGTCGTCTTCCGGAATAAAAATGTCAAAAATGGTCATTTTTAAAAGTTTTTTACAGAAAAAATCTATCTCCTCTTTCAGTTTTTGACATTTCTAGGAGTTCTATAGCTCAAAAAAACCGCAATTATTTTCTCTACATTTTCTATGAATGAATTTTTAATTTGCCTGATAAAACTTTTTTATAATCAAAAACAACGCAAAAATGCTATTTTGTGCAATTTCATGAGATTTTTGAATTATAAAAAAAGTTTTATCAGACAAATTAAAAATTCATCCATAGAAAATGTAGAGAAAATTATTGCGGTTTTTTGAGCTATAGAACTCCTAGGAATGTCAACAACTGAAAGAGGAGATAGATTTTTTCTGTAAAAAACTTTTAAAAATGACCATTTTTGACATTTTTTATTCCGGAAAACGACCATACATGAATCTATAACTACTAATTAATTTTCTAAAAATCATTTGAATTATCTTCAATCTCCACAGAATCAGATAAAAAATTATGAAATTGTTGTTTTAGACCTGCAATTGTGATCGCGCCAAACTTTTTTCTGTAGATCAAAAATTAATTTGCAGTTCGGAAATGTTCTGTGGGAGAGCGTGCTCATCATGAAAAAAATTGTGGAAATTGTTCTGTGCTGAAAGGCATTAGTTTTTTTTTTGAATTTTGAGTCCCGAAACTTCAGGAAAGCATACAACGAAGAACTGTAAAAAATCTTGACAAGTTTTACAAACTCAGGACTTTAATGCTTAATTTATGTTTTAAAACTCATTCGATACTTTCCTCTATCAATTCTTCTCAATTGCTTTTCTGCTCAATTCTATTTCATTTTCTTCTGTTTCTCAATAAAAAAACCCGAATTCCTGGCAGAAATTCTACCCAGTTGACCCTCCGAAATAACACCTTCGATAGTCTGCAATTGTGTTTGTTTTCCTCAAAAAACTACGAAAAAGATGTAAAAACAAAAATTCATCATGTTCAGGATCATATACTCAAATTGATCTCAATGGCCCCTATGAGACTATCAATGCCCCCTGGGAGCATTTGGTCCGATGCCCCCTATGAGACATGGTGGGATGACCCCTAAGACACAACTTCAGGATGCCCCCTATGAGTTAGTGACCCCTATGAGTGTATGCCCCCTTTGAGCACGATGCCCCCTATTTCGATGCCCCCTGGCAGTATGGGCCTACCCTAATACGCGTCCACTCAATTTTCGGAACAATCAACTTCCTCCTCTATTAACCTGTCCAAGCTAGCTTCTCTGCCATCCCTACCTGTCCTCCCCCCTCTCATCTTCTCCATTTCGATTCATTTTCCAAATATAAACCAAAACTTTTAAAAGTGGGCGTGTCTCTCTTTTCTCTCTGCGTCTCTTCAATCTCTCCTTTCCGCGCGGAGCTGCCAAACAACCTTTTGTATCGGAGGGAGCCGGGCGTTGTTTCCAAACATTTTTCGCGCTCCCACAAGAGGGTTGAGAAGACTATCCTACAATGCTTGCCTTCTTCTTCTGTGTCACTTTTAATTTTTTAATCTATGCGTATTGTTTCAACTTCTCTAATCCCTGTGTTTCTAGTCCCTCTCAAACATTTCCTTTTCCTTTTTTCAGCACGACCCAATTATAGAATGAAGATAAATAGTTGATAAACATCTGAAAATGAGATTTGATTGCATCGAAAGGCGGTTCGCACATGCGTTCGGCGCTTATTCTGGCGTCGTCGTCCGTCATCCATTCCCATTTTTCATCGTACCAATTCTGATAACTGCCGCATTGACAACTGGATTATTTAGACATGAACAGGCGTTTATGAAGGATGAACTAGAACTTTATACACCTACAGATGCTCAGGCAAGAAAAGAATTGGATCAACTGGATCGATTATTTCATATTAATGATTCGGATCCGTTTTATGCAACGAGAAGGTTGGCGTTTACTAATTGAAACTTTCCGTATTTTTTATATTAGAAGCCTATCCTATACTTGAACTTTGAGCTTAATTATCTAGATTCCTGGTAAAGATAGCAAACATTTGTCATCAGATAAAATGTTTGTTATAATATCAGTAACATTTTATTAGTTGACCACTTTTTGATATCTTTCACAGGAATCGAGTTAAACCGGCTTGAAGTTGAAAAGCCCCCTGCCGGCTGACGACCTTTTAACTTTCAGCCAATTTATCTCGGTTCCTGTGGAACATATCAAGGTTTTTCAACAGATAAATTGTTTATCATAATATCATTATCATTTTATTAGTTGACAAATGTTTGATATCAGTTACAGGAATCGAGATAATTGAACTCGAAGTTGACCGTTTGGGAAGGCTTCTGTTAGAGGAAATATGGTAATTTTTTAACGAAGGTTGTAGAAATTTCAACATTTTTTCTTGACATAGTATATTTGATTTTTTCACAAATGCGGTAATACCGAGCTTGTAAAAGATTTCGAAATTATCATTCTGTTGGCTGAACCAGGATTTTACCAAATTAATTCTTTTTTGTCTTTTCATATTCAAAATTTTCAGGTACGACATCAGAAGAGCCGGCTATATCATCGTCACGAATCAAGAAGAAGATGGAGACATTCTGAATCCGTTGGTGATGCACGCTGCTATGCAGCTCTGGAGTATTGTTCAGGTAGGATGTTTGAACATACCGTAAAACCTCTCAACCTTTAAATTTGAATCCTTCCATCTTGGTTCCTGTCAAAGATATGCAGTAATTGTCAATTGATAAATTATATTTATGGGCATCAAGCTTCCCTAAAATTGAACCAAAGATCTTCTAGATCATATTATTACTGGTAATTCAATTTAAATATAGATTTTAAAATGTTCGATTTGCTGATTTCTTAATAAGAGCTTTCAAACCGTCAATTTTGAGCTCAATTATCTTGATTCCTGTAAAAGATATAATAACAATTGTCAACTGATAAATTATTTGAATTATTTTATCAGTTGACACATTTTTGATATCTTTCACAAGAATCGAGATAATTGAGCTCAAAGTTGACGGTTAGGGTGAGCTCCTATTAGAAGATATACGGTATTCTCTTGAATTTTGATTCAAAACTGAAAAACTTTGAAATCCCAAGTGTTTTTACAGTCTCTGACAGTAGAAGACGAGGACGATCGTCGTATAAACTACCCATCGATATGTGTGAAATTTCCGATTCCTCCAGAATTCTCGAAGGCTCTTCACTCGTTGTTCTCACCGAATATGACCACGTAAGTGTAACATTGACACAACTTTTGATAGTTTTCTCCTTTCCCTTTTTTGGAAGAAGTTGTAGTATGTGAATTATGTCTCTTTTCTCTTTTTCTTTTGTACCGCAACAAAATAATGCGCGGTGCAAATAGAAATAAGCCGGCGTGGTGGTGGTGGTGGTGGGCCCATGATGTTCAGAATTAGGACAGAAAAGAAGGAAGATGTGTTGTTAGTTGAATAGAGAAAGTTGCAAGAAAGGCGCGTTCCGCAAGAAGATTACGGTAGCCAATGCTCAATGCAAAAAGTTTGCAACGTTGCGTATCGGGATGAGCATCTATTGACACTCACTTATCACCTTTTGAGATGATCTTAGGGGGTGCCAGAGGGTCAAAATATTTGACTAGGTCAGGGGAGAAAGAAGATGAATACTTTTGTTAAATTGATCAGAGAGTAGGTTCGGTAGGTCAGAAGATTAAACATCGGCGACAGTGATGTGTTGGCGCAACATAACAACTTTCTTCAAGGGCTCTCAAGAAACACGGTTCAGAGTTCGAAATGGTGTGTTTTGTGTCCAAATTCTGTTACTGATTATGAAGATTTTATGCTTCTCATTGACGGAGAAATTTGAATAAGTGTCGTAGTCTGTAGCCTACAATATTAGTAGTCTATCCGTATCCTGAGGTTCAAGAGATTCTGTGACCCCATATATCTCGATTCTCGTCAAAGATATAAAAAATTGTCAACTGATAAATTGTTCATTAGGAATTGAGATAATTGAGCTCGAATTATTGTTGCTAGAATTTTTGGCAATTTTTTGAATAATTTTCCAGACTGATTCTCCGGCAATCTCTTCTTTAATTTTTGTTTCAAAAAATTAAAACTTAAGAAAAAATGGTTCAAATTTCTTTCCATAAAAAAGTTCTGAAAATCAGTAATACCGTATTTCATTTAATCGAACCCAAACCGTCAACTTTGAGCTCAAGTATCTCGATTCCTGTGAAAGATATCAAAAAATTGTCAACTGATAAAATATTAGTGATATTATAATAAACAGTTTGTCAGTTGACAAACTTTTTATATCTCTTACAGGAAAAGAGATAAATGAGCTCAAAGTGGACGATCTGTGTAAGCTTCTCTTAAAGGAAGTACGGTAACTTTGAGCAATTTTAAATTGGTATTCCCATAATTTTCGAATGTCTTGACTTACAATTGTCAGCTACAACAATATATTTTTCAGTTTTTGCTGATTTTTTTCCGATTCTGATATAGATCATATCCGGTAACAAGCCTAACCATTTAATCACGTTGACTGTAAGCTCACACTTTAAAGTTTACACAAAAAGAGCAAACATTCGAACGAGTTGGTCACTTTTTCTGTCCGGTAGTTTTACACTATCGCTTACACACTTTTTCTTTTGTTTGTCCTATACCAAAAGTGCAAAAAATGTGTCATCTTAAATGGTTACTTCCGCTGACCCAAGGTATCAACTCCTCTGTCTATAATCCATCTTATTTGACGAGAAACAATACAAGTTCGTGTCCCCGATTCTCTCATTCAAAAGAAAATGAATATTACGTCAGAAACAAACAGAGATATCGGGGGATTGGAAAAAGATGAGTGACCCATCAAAAGTGTCAAAAATCGAAATATAGATTCATCTCGCCTTTTTTGTTTGCTCAATTCCAATAGCAAAGGGAGATTTTGGGGATTTTTATGATCATTGGAAGAGATTAAAGGATGAATGAGGGATCCTCTTGAAAACTAATTTTTTTCAGACCAGAAGAAATATGCGTCTCAAATCCGCTCGTCGAAATCTTTAAACTACTCCTTGTTTCAGATCGCTCGTTTCTCAATCGGTAAACTGTGTTCTAGAAGGTTTTAAAAGTGACAAGTCTCCATTTTCAGGTCGATCGATGAGATGACGTTATCCCAAATATCAGATGCAATTCAATTTGATAGCGGAGGAATGACACATTTATTAGGAGGTGTCACATTGGATGACGATAAGAGGATTGCAGGTGAAATTACATTTCAAGAGTCTTCTAGATTTGATATCCAATCTGAAACGTACCGAAATATATGCCCTTTAAAGCCCACTCAAATCGTCAAGTTTGAGCTCAATTATCTCAATTCCTATAAAAGATATCAAACTTTATCAATTGGTAAATTATTCATCATAATGTCACCAATGTTTTATAGTTTGACAAAATTCTGATATCTTTTACAGAAATCAAGATATTTGAGCCCAAAGTTAAAGTAATAAGCCTTTCTATCACAGGTTCTACGGTTACCCAGTTTACTAGAAATTATTTCAATATGATTATCCCAGTTTTTTGAAATTTCCAAATTTCCAGGAGCAAAAGCGATGCTTCTTCCCTACGCTCTCCGTCATTCATCCGACGACGAAGATTGGGTTGCCGAGAAATGGGAAGTCCGTTTAGCGGATTTCCTTCTCCAATATGACTCTCCAATCATTCGTGCCAGTTGGTGGACCTATGAGACATTAGCTGCCGAATCTGCCAGAGACCGATTACAACTGATAAAGTAATCCAAAAGTTGTAGTTTAACCTATTTTCATTTTACTACTATTTTCAGCATGCTTCTTCCTTGTTTTGTCTGCGTCTCCATTTATACCATTGCTTGCTGCTGTGTCTTCTCTTGGAGACGTTCCAGACCCTGGTAATCTTTCTGACTTCTGGATTCTCTTTCATTTTTGATATTTAGGCTTGCTATCGGCGGAGTTATCTCAGCAGCAATGGCAATTGCGTCAGCAGTTGGCCTCTTGTTACTTGCCGGTTATGGAATGACTAGTGTTGCCTACTCGATGCCGTTTATTGTATTCTGTAAGTGTATTCAAAATGTTGTGTGTAGGCTGAATGTGAATAGTGTTGTATATGTATGTGTGTCCGAGAGTCAATTCTGTTTGCAAATATTTTGGGACGGCTCAGCAGCAGCAGAACAAAACGCATGGTATTGAAAGCAGAACCTGTGGGGGAGGGACTTTATTTGCATTTGTGTGCCTGTTCGCACATTTTGAACTTTGTGTTTAATTCCTGAAACCAATCAATTGGAAAAAGAGAGCACCGATACGGGGTGGGATGAGAAAAAAGAATCAAAACACAACAGTCACCGGTCTTAGAAATTGGTTAGTCGGGGAAGGAGAAAAAGTAGCTGGGATACATAAAATATCAGTGCAAAAGAGAAATTGAAGGAGAAGCTTAAAAATTGCAGATTTTGAGAATTTCAAGTTTTCTGTCATTTTTGTCTCGTCGGAAAACAAACATTCTGATAGAAAGAATTGGCCGAAAACGCACGAAAATCAAGAAGATAAATCAAATCATTTTTTAGGTTAAAAAACCATATTTTTAGGTTACGGTAGTTGTCGTTGTGGGACCTTCGGCCACAGCCACCGACATTTCTCTTCCACAGCTTTGATTTTTTTGTACCAGCCTAATAAATAAAAACTAATAGCCAATGAACTGAAACCTGGAAATTTAATAATATAAACCCAGTTAAGTTCTGAAACCGTACCTATCTTCTTTTCAGCTGTTGGTGTCGACAACGTCTTTATCCTCCTCTCCGCCTGGAGATCAACATCATCAACGGAAACTTTCGAGCATCGAATGGAAGAAACCTTCGCTGATGCAGCAGTCAGTATTACTGTAACATCTCTGACTGACCTGATTTCATTTGGTGTCGGATGTGCGACTCCCTTCCCAAGTGTCCAGATGTTTTGTGCTTATGCGGTTGCCGCAGTCGTCTTCACCTATATTTATCAGTTGACATTTTTTGCCGCAGTCATGGTTTACACGAATCGACGAGAGATTAATAATCGACACTGTATTACATTCCATAAACTGAAAAGAGAGACTCTTCCGGAGAAAGTTGCGGCTAAAGGGGATCGAAGTTTCGAGAAGAACAGTATGCTGGCTCAATTTTTCCGAACGACGTATTCTGATTTTTTGTTGAATCCACTCGTTCGGATTTTCATTCTCACTTGCTTCTGTGTCTATTTGGTATGTTTCTGGTTTCATTTTCTCCTAACATCTTTTAAAAATTAATTTTTTCAGGGAGTGGCTTCTTATGGATGTACAAAAGTGAAGCTGGGATTAGAACCTAACGATTTGCTGCCTGAAAACTCTTATGGAAAGAGAACGCTGATGATGGCAGAAAAATATTTCTCCGATTACGGTAGCTCACTTCATGTATGGATGTACAACCTATCTGAAGTGAATGTGGCGCCTCGAAAAATCTGGAATGTTCTGGAAAAAGAAGTGGAACTATACGAGCATACAGAGTTCACAGCTGGCAGTGACTCATGGCTTCGAACGTTTTTGGCGTTTGTCAAACAAGCTGGATTGCTCATAACTCCGGAAAATTTTGTCTATATACTCAAGAATGTTTTTCTGTCTCAACCACAATTTGCAAAATATAACAGAGATGTTGTGTTATCAGATGATGGGGAACATTTAGAAGCATCAAGAATTCCAGTTCAGTTGAGACACGTTGGGTCGGCAAATCAGTCAAGAGCGATGAGATTATTTAGGAAATTAGCGGAAACTAGTGAACTACAAACTGGAGTTTATGCTGACTTCTTTCAGGTAACCTTGTTTTCTTTGGGATGAAAATTGAAATATCGTAAAACCTATGATAGAATGTCCACATACTTCGAGTTAAATTTTCTTGGTTGCTGTCAAAGATATAAAAAATGGATCAACTGATGAAATGTGTTTGATATTATGATAAACAGGAAGCGAGATAAGATGGCTCAAAAATAAAATCTAAGGGGCTCTTCTATTACAGGTATCACGGTATGCAACTGACCCTTAACGGAATCCTACACAGGAACAGAGATAAACTGGCCTAAAGAATCGCTTTTATGAATTGGAACATAGGCCACCCTATACTTGAACTTTGAGCATGATTAGGTTCATACAAGATATAACAAAAATCTGTTAAGAGATAAAATTTTTTCTTATAATATCAGTAACATTTTATCAGTTGAGCACTTTTTGATATCTCACGCGAAAATCAAGCTAAACTGGCTCGAAGTTGAAAAGTCGGCGCCTGCTGGTAAAGCTATGCTGTCGCCGTCCTCTTAACTTTGTGCTCATTTATCTCAATTCATCTGCTAAATATCAAAAATTTGTTCACTGTTAAAATGTTGGTGATATTATGATAAACAATTTATCAATTGACACATTTTAGATATCTTACACAGAAATCGAGATAATTGAACTCAAAGTCTGGATTGGCTTCCGGCTTCCGCAGTATTTACCATAATCTGAACATTTCAAGCTACAAGAAGCTGGGAATTTCTGAAATTTTGAGATTGTTCAATTTTCAAATCCAACACCAAACTTATAATAATCTATATCATTTCCAGTTTGCTGAGCAATACAACGCAGTGCTCCCTGGAACTCTCTCTTCGATTGCCTATGCTGGAGTTGCCGTCGTCGCAGTGTCTCTAATTCTGATTCCAGAACCAGTAGCTAGTCTTTGGGTACATTTTTCATTGATACCTTTCAAAAAATGTATCCTTTCAGGTTTCCTTCTCTATCGTTTCCATCAACATCGGAATTCTCGGTTTCATGACGTTCTGGTCGGTTCGTCTGGATTTCATTTCGATGGTTACCATCGTCATGTCCATTGGATTTTGTGTTGATTTTGCGGCACATCTAGCGTATAACTTTGCAAAGGTATGGTAATTTCTTATTGGTTTTGAGCAAAAATACAAAAAAAAGATTAAATACCGCCGAAGGTGCACCAGCCAGCGTAGCTCGCGAGCTAACATTGGCAGGCCAACTTTTCTGCTAGTTATTTAGTAGACTACTGGGAGACGCAGATAGAGAGAAAATCTATTTTTCACTAAAACTTTGCTCAAAATTAACCTGAAAAAACTTGAAAAATAGCTTTTAAAATTTATCAGTTCAATTAAAAATTTTCCAGGGTGAAAACATCGATGCTCCGGAGAGAATGAGAAATGCTCTGTATGCCGTTGGTGCTCCAATTCTAATGTCTGCCTCTTCTACCATCATTGGTGTATCTTTCATGGCATCGGCTGAATCTTATGTGTTCCGAAGTTTCTTGAAAACCATTATCCTCGTTATTCTTCTTGGAGCACTTCATGGTTTGGTAATTCTGCCAGTTTTACTTTCGATGTTCTACTGTGGCGGTTCATCGAAAAAGGCAAAAGAGCATATGGATGTAAGACTTCAAAAGTAGAAGTTTAAAATTTTGATTTTGCGAATTTTCAGGCGGTAGATCAAAAACTACAAGCTCAGTACAACAATCCAGCTCGAACAGCGTCTATACAGTATCTGAGCAATCCAGATTTATACACGATGCCTCCTCCAAATGTGGAATTCTCTTTGTCCACTCTGGAATTCAATAGAACTCAGACTCGACCGCTCGGTGCGCCTCCACCAATATCGGGAAGTCCTAAAAGAGAATTATCAGGAATCTCGGGTCCTCCAGAATACGAAGAACACGATTCATCTGGATTGAGCACGTTTGGAGTTGCTCCAGCAGTTGTAGCGAATACAACTGGAATGATTCCAATGCGAGCGAAATTGAAATATCCGACAAATATGACAACTGCACAAAGGAGAGAAAGTGAAAGTAGGACAACGCCCGAACTGTATTATCCTTCTTAATTGTTTTCTTTTCATTCTTCCTTATTTATTTCTCTATGTTTTCCTTCTCAATTCTTCATTCGGGTTTACTCTTTCCTCCCATTTTTTTTTCTGACTGAACTGTATCATTCTTCTGGTGTTCCTTGATTTTGGTGATTTAAAACCGAGTAATTCATGTTGTTTAGTAGTATTTTGCCACTTTGTATTTCTCTCGTCTCCTCATTACATGTCTTTCTCTTTTAGAACCCCTTTTAAAAGACCCTTTTCTTTCATTCATTCTGACACACTGGTATATTTTTATTTGCAACAAATAATACTACTAATAATAAAACGAATTTAAATTATTCCGATTCGAGTTTCTCAACGAATTCCATCTTCTCTGTTCCACAAACCGCGCATTTGAAGTCGTCGATTCTGAAAGTTTCTCTTTTGTCATTTTAAATTTTTTTTTTCCGAGAACCCACAGCTCAAGAATATCGTCAATCAGTGGCCAGGACTCTCCAATCTCCTTCTTCACTTTCTCTTTTTTAACTTTCTTTCCCTTTGCTTCAGCCATTTGCCATGCATCTGCGGCCACAATCAGAGCAACATTATATGCTCCGAGGAGAGATCCTTGAGAAGCACAGGTCACACAGATCAACGCTTTCACACATTCAGATACAGTTTTCAGTGTGTCAGAGCGCTAAAAACAAGCAAAATCTTGGGAGTTAAAGTATCAGAAAATCCTACATCAAGTTTCTTCAAATTCTTGATCAACTCAACGTTCCAGCTATCAAAGAATTGGAAAATATCATCGCGGAATAGAAGTGACAAGATCTTTCCAATACGACTGACAGCATCGAAATCGGGAAGAACAAAACGACGATGGTAGATGTATGTCAAAATCTGGAACGGAGATTGAATAGGCATATATGGATTATAGTCATACCACACGCATGTCCTTTGATTTGAGACTTGTGATGATGAAGCGATTCTCATGAGAAATCATGGCGATCTCTTTTCCAATGCTCATATGACTAGTGACAGCAGCCTGAAAAGTTTAATCCTAAAAGTTGCTTCCAAAACCTGTAATAGAAGGGCCTCCATACTGTCCAGCTTGAGTTAATTTTCTTGTTTCCTATACAAGGTGTCCAAAATTTGTCAACTGATACAAAGTTTGTGATATTATGGTCAACCTTGACAGAAACCGAAATAATTTGGCTCAAAGTTAAAATTTAAGAGGATCCTTCTATTACAGGTATTACGGTATGCAACTCGCTCTCAATGGAATACTAGCATCAGCCAGAACCGGTCCATGAACATGAAAATCTCTTGGGAAGCCCTCGCCAGCCGACAGAATCCAATCACTTTTTGGAACCTTTTCTCCCATCAGAATCTTATCCAGAATCTTGTAAGAGCTGGGTGCCACGTGGGCTTCTTTCCTGAAGTTGTGAGTGATATTTTTCAAATTTTGAATTTAATAGATACTCACAAGTTCAATTTTATATACTCTCCAATTTCAAAATAGTCCTTGTCAATCGTCATTTCAACTCTCAAAACGGCAACTCCATTCTAAAAGTACAATTGTTACCGTATTTCTTCTAATAAAGGCCTACAAAACTTTGAGCTCAATCATCTCGATTACTATGAGAGATATCGAAAAATTGTCAATTGATTAATTATTTATCACAATACCAACAATATTTTATCAGTTGCAGATTTTTTATATCTTTCACAGGAGCCGAGATAATTGAGCACGAAGTTGATAATTTGGATCTATCGAGTACCTCAGTGAAATTCTCAAAAGAATTCAAAGTGACCATGGATTGACAGGAGTATAATCCATTGTCCTCTCTGACCAAATCAATTTCCGTTCCATCCTTATGAACCCATTTGACATTTTCCAATTCTGGAACTTGTGGTTTGTAGGTCACAGCAACTCCGCCTTTGACCATTTCAGTTGGATATTTGAAAGTGTATCCAACGGGAACAATACTCAGTTTGCAGTATAATCCTGAATATGAAACTGGATTATTGTATTTCTTTATTATAAATACCATCTTTTTCGTTCTGCCCAACCACAGTGATTGAATAAACAAAGGAATACATAACGAGATTGTGTTGAAGAATGCAGTTATTTGATTGAATCGCCTGTCCAACAGCACTCAACTTCTTCAATCCATCTGGATGAAGTTTGAAGTCAACTCCAAAATGAATTCCTGCTCCAGTTTCCACTTGCTTCTTTTTCAAATCGTCAAATGACTTTCCATCGACATAATGATTGGAGAACGCTAAGATTTGACTCTTACAGTAACATTACAAATTTTCCTAACCATTAACATCATGATGAATGACTTCCATTCCATTCGGAAGCTTATTCTCATCCACCGGCTCGTTTGGATCGATGATTTCGAAAGCAGTCGTCATCGTAGATTCAGATTACTCCTCTGTTATGGCTGTACGCCTTCCAGTCCGTCCATCATCTTCCAGCCAACAGGTACCTGGCAACATAGTCTGGGTGCGGGTTCACGTTTTTATTAATTTCATTATAATTTCGGCAAGTTCGGAGAAGAAAAAGAAAAGAGAGTAGAAAGTAAATTCAACAAGGGGAAGCGAAAAAATAAAAGAAATTGGAATTGTTTTTTGTACAATGAAAGCACTTCTATTGATCTGATTTCTGTGACGGTTTCTCGTCGATCATTGGCGTTCCCTCTTCAGATGATGGGTCGATGTGGACGTTGTCAAGATTGACATTCTTAGTTTCAACCTGAAAGTGGATAGGTCAATAATATTAACTCCGAGTTTTATAAATCCGGAAAATTGGAATATTTGAATTTCTGAATCCCTCCGAATCCTCCGACCCTCCGAATTTTGGAAGTTTTGAAATGAGAAGACTTGAAAACTTGAGATTTAGAAATGTCGGGGAATTCAAAACTTCAGAGACGCTTTAAAATCTTGGATTTGAAACACTCTTTTGACTATGATTTTTAAAATTCAAGTGTTTTCCAATTCCTAGTTTTTGAATACTGTAAAACCTGTAATAGAAAGGTCTCCTAACTTTTGACTTTGAGCTGATTTGTCTCGGTTCCTGTTAAAGATATGAAAAAGTTGTCAACTAATAAATTGCTTACCACAATATCAGAATTATTTTGTCAGTTGACAATTTTTTAGTATCTCTTATAGGAGCCGAGATGAGCCCAAACTCGACAGTGTGGGAGGCTCTTCTATTACATGAGCTTCCGAATGTCTTGCTTTTCAAATAGCTGGATTTCTGACAATCAGATATCTCAAAGATCTGAATATCGTAATTTCCGAAATATTAAAGCCTGAAATTACCGAAATTCTGAGTTGATGAATTATACATCTGAATCCCTGAATTTTCAAAGCAAGACTTTAAAAAATAGTTCCTAAAAAGGGACAAGCCCTCTTTATAAGATTTGAGGTACTGTAAGATCTGGTGGTTCAACCCCGGAGAGACGCACTGGTAAATTAAATATTTAAAACTAAAACTGACCAAGAAGAAGTATGAGATGATGAGATTGATAGTTCCGAGAAGTACGACAGTGAGGTAGACAGATGGAGGCCACCAGAGATTTGCGTAGTTTAGCTGAATAAACAAAGAAACGTTGAATAACTTGAAATTGTAAATCCTTACCATAGGTGCAAGAATAGCTCCGATTCTGGCCACAAGTGAGCATGTTCCAGTGGCGGATGCACGACAAGCGGTCTCCATACTTTCGACGGCACAAAGATAGCAAGCATCCCATGTATACTCGATGAAAACTGTTCCAATCAGGTTCACAATCAGGAAGGCAAGACCCTGAACAATCATTTTTTGGTTTTTTTATCTGGTCAAACAGTTGGCTGGTGCGCCTTCGGCGCGATTTAACCTACAAAAAAAATTTAATTCACGTAACGCAATAAATCATAAAACCAGTCAACATTAGGTCACGCCCTCTCCTCCTGTCCATGTTTAGAAATTCCACATATTGAAAAAAAAGTTCTTTGAGAAAATTCTCCTCTTTGAATTAGTTTGATAATTTTCACTAGCTCTTTTTCACTGCTCTGAAACTCCCTGCCTAAGCTGTTTATCGTTTGATTTGCTTTTTTCGTTCGATTGGTCGATTGCTAAAAAAGTTATAAAAGGCCCTCAGGGTCGCCATGTTTGGTGGTTCATGGCTAGGTGAATTCATTTTCACTGAACGTCCCCCTTTTGCGGAAGACCTAATCAAAGAAAAAAAAACAAATGAACATAAACAATAAATGGCGACGGTATAGCTTTTTAGCAGTGAAAGAGAACTATTGAAAATTAACAAACTGTCTCTTCGGAGACGATGGGGTTTTTGGTTGGTGTTTTCCCCCGGTGAAAAACCATTTTCCCTTTCATGTACTGAGCCTCTACGTGGCGAAAGGGATCAACAGACGAAATTCTGGCTAATCAGTACACTTTTTAGTTTTCATAAATCTTATTTTTCATTAAAACCCGTTTTTTTTTCATTTGATTTTGACAGTTTTCAGGAGACTGAAGCTCGGCTTTCAAGTTTCCCATCATTTTGAAATTATTGGAAGGTGTAAAACAGACCTAAATTGAAAATTTAGCATGTACTGAATTTTTTGAAAACACCTAGTTTTTCAGCTATTTTCCGATTTCTGAAAGACACCTGTTTTTTTTGTGAATCCAAGGTATTCAGTCTAGGTCTGCGTCACACCCTCCATAATTTTCAAAATGATCTGAAACATGAGAGCCAAGCTCCAGACCCCTGAAAATGGTCAAAATGGCCAAAAAAGTATTTTTTTAAATATCTAGATGACTTGTACTGTATAAGTAAGATTCTTCAACTCACAGTGTATCCATAGAAAGTCATGAAAGTGAGAATAAGGAAGCATATGCAGACAACAAGTTGAGCTCCTTGATGAAGAGTTCTGCGACGGAACGAAGGAACATGAGTGTCGAAAATGACGAGGATCATTTTGGAAACGGCGATGAGAATGGAGAAGAGAATTTGATTGACGAAGAGATCTCCAGAAATAGTATTCGAATTCAAATCAGTTGCATATCCACAGATTGAGGCAACGAACCACATGGACCAGAGAACAAATAGACGACGCATTAATCCTTTTGTTTGGAGCATTTCCATTACTGTCTGAATAATAAATAGTTTTCTTTTTTAAGAAAAATGGATGTAGAAGTTTTCCAGTATACCGTTAGCCCACAAAACTGTCAATTTTGAGGTCAATTATCTCGATTCCTGTGAAAGATATTGAAAATTTGTTGACTGATAAATTACTTATCATAATATCACCAACAATTTATTAGTTGACAAAACTTTGATATCGTTCAGAAGAATCGAGATAATTGATCTCAAAGTTTTCGGTTTTAGTACCTCTCAGCTATTTGTTCATGCATTAACCATGGTTACTGTTTTTCAGTTTTCTGATTATGGCTTATTTTGATAAAACTTCCACTTGTTATACTTTAATCGAGTCATAAAAATACAGTCACCTTGGAATGCTCAATTTTCTGATGCTCAATGGGAACATACGAAACTCCAGCCATCTTGGCGATATGCTTCTCACTTTTCTTCATCTCATCCAGTCTTCCCTTGTTATGTAACCAAGTTGGAGATTCCGGGAACACAAAAATAATAATGATAAGTGCTGGAAGAGCAGCAATTGCACATGCGATTGAAGAGATTCTCCATTCTGGAAGCGCCATTGCAATCAGTGTCATCATAAGACGAGCTACTCCCTGAACATTCGAGATTTGAGATTTTTTGAAAAAAAAAGTTAATTACCCAATTAAAGAATGCTCGAAGTGCCATTCTCTGTTTTGGGAGGAGCATTTCCATGACAAAAGTGCATACAACAACAAGAGTTCCTCCGACGGAAAGGCCCAGGAAGAATCGGATGCCAAGGAGAAGTTGGTAATTTGGAGCCAATCCTGTCACAAAGTTCATGAGGATTCCAAGAGAAAGTGCAAAGACTGCAACTGGTTTTCTTCCAACAACATCTGAAACTGCTCCAAAAGAAAATGTTCCACATAATACTCCAGCAAATTGAATTTGAGAGAAAAGAGATTTCAGGTACGCAGACTTTCCACAAATCCAGTCATATTCCATTGCCGCTGATTTGAATGCCACATTTACGAATGTTAGGTTGGCTTTGCATGTTTGGTAGACGTCGCAGTCCGATGTTGGCTCACTGTCTCCTGAAATTTTAATTTTCATTGAAGTTGGATTTTATAGCTTTTTCTCTTATGAATTCATTATTTTTGTTCCTGTCAAATTTTCAATGTAATTTTTTTGTTTGAAACTTTCATAATTTCAGAAGTGCCTACCCCTATAAAACTCAAAAGTTTGGAAATTTAGAACATTAGAAAATCCAGGAAATGAAAAATTTTGGATAACAAAAATCCAGGAAATTTAGAATTCAAAAATCCAGGAGATTTAGAATTCAAAAATCCAGAAATTCAAAAATTCAGAAATTCAAAAATTCAGAAATTCAAAGAATTCAAAAATTCAGAAATTCAGAAATTCAGAAATTCAGAAATTAAGAAATTCAGAAATTCAAAAATTCAAAAATTCAGAAATTCAGAAATTCAGAAATTCAGAAATTCAGAAATTCAGAAATTCAGAAATTCAGAAATTCAGAAATTCAGAAATTCAGAAATTCAGAAATTCAGAAATTCAGAAATTCAGAAATTCAGAAATTCAGAAATTCAGAAATTCAGAAATTCAGAAATTCAGAAATTCAGAAATTCAGAAATTCGTAAATTCAGATATCTGAAAATTTGGACGTCTGAATTTCAAAAATTCGGTAGTCCAGGATTGAAACTTATTGGGTCTTTTAAAAATTCTACCGTAAAATCTGTATTAGAAGATCCGGCCTTTCTATTGTTCTAGGGTATTTCCGGAGGGCGCTTCTATTAGAGGGGGCCTTCAATTAGAAGGGCTACTCCTATTTTTCCGGCGGTAACTTTTTTCACTTTTCGCATCAAAAAATTTGGAAAATTCTTGATCAAAATCCATGGAAAGCTATCAATTTCACCAAAATTAAGCAAGTTTTTTGAGGAAAAAAACAGTGATTCAACAAAGGTCTGCGAAATTTCGGAATTTCCGGTATATTTTTCACTGAAAACGTACAAAAATTTTCAATTTCAAGCATTACATTTTGAAGGGGCCCTTCTAATACAGGTTTTACGGTAAGTATTTTGAGAGTTTTGAGAGTTTTAATAGGTTATTTTACACTATTCACATTTCCTTTTGTATTTTTAAATTAAACCAACCGCATTTCCATTGTGGGACATAATTCGAAAAAATCGGAAAGATTTGTTGTGAAGCAAAAAATATGGAGAATTGCCAAGTGAGGAGAACGAGAAGGTGGAATCGATTGATATCGAACCACATCCTGCAAATTCTATTTCAATTCATAAGAGTTCCCATTTTGTTCCCATCTCTTTTCTTTTTCTCGAAAAACTGTGAATTTTTGATAAATTGATAGCAATAAGATTGTCAAGAAGATTGATGGAGAAACAGAGAGAGTATTACACACTTTGCCGCTTCGAAGGGAAAAACGGCGTCACAAGAAAAGAGGAAAAAATCCGTTTTTCTGATCTTGGGAATCGAATTTTTATGAAAAAAAAAATAGAGACGATGGTTTTATTCTTTGGTTGGGGGCAAATGAGAGGATTTTTAGAAAAGACGAAAGAGATTAATAAGGAGAAAGAGAGAGAGAGAGTAGGGATGATTGAAGACATTCAATGAAGAGTGATAAGGTCTGAGAAGTACTTGATAATGATTTTATCATCTCTATGAATTGTAAAAATTGATGCCAAAAAATGAAATGAGAGATAGAGAACGTTTTCAAAACCCAATTCGATCAATTCCCGAATTACAGTTTGAAATTGGTAAAATGCAATGAATAGTTTCATTAACATCATCTTTTTTGTTACATCAGAGTAGCTGGCGCGCCTTTAGCGCGTTTTTTGGAGTAAAAGTAGAACAGAAGACGAGACTTTTGGCCTTAACACCTTTTCTTCCTCTTCCACAGCTTCAATTTCTTTTAAATCAGAATAATACACCAGAAAAGCTGGCGCGCTTTCGTGTGTAAAAGAACAGAAGGCGTCAAGCTCAAAGAAGCTAGAACTACCAAAACCATCTCAAAAATGTTTGTTAGCTAAATCTGGAAATTTCTGATTTTTATCTTTTTTTTCACAGCTAATTGTAATATTTTCTTTTTCTATTAGTAATGGTTACTGTAGTTCAAAATATAATGAAAACACTTTAATATATGCCTCTTTTCTTGTGAAAGATATCGAAAAGTTGTCAACTGATAAAATATTCATCATAATGTCATCAATATTTTCTTAGTTGACCACTTTTTGATATCTTTGACAGGGACCGAGATAAATGGACTCAAAGTTGAAATTTAAGGAGGCGATCTATTAGAATGTTTATGGTAACAACGGGAAGGATTACTGTAGTATTGAAAATTTAAAAAAAAACATTAAGGATTACTGTGGTTTAATGATGAATTAACACAAAATTGGTTTTGAGATTCCGTTCCTTTTTTAAAAGATTTCAGGATCAAGTTCAACTATTGGAAAACCAGGAGATCTCTGTTTGATTAAAGTAATCCGAATCGTTCAAAATCTCTATACCCTAACAAGGCCTAAATTGTAAGGCCTAAATATACCCTAAGGCCTAAAAATTCAAAACTTTTGTTTTTCAAAGAAAAAAACGTTTGAAATCTCTTGGCTGAGTTTGTGCCCCGGACTCGAAATCTCTCCCAATTCTCTATCTCTTGGTGAAAAACTTATCAAAACAGCTGTCAACTGGGGAAGATAATGAATCACAATAAAGACGATTTCATCCTAACTTTTGACCGATAAATAAACACAAAAATCCTCCTTCCTTTCTTCTTTTTTTCTCGTTTTTTTTCTGGGAGAAAGAAAAGAATGAAGGAGATAAAATGGGGAGGTTTTCAGTCAAAAAGTGGGTACTCTTTGAAGGGTTTTTTGGGAATGTTGGTTCACTATCGAGGTACCACCCATCCATCATTTATTATCAAAAAAGAAAAAGAAAAAGAAGATAGCTGTTATCCATATGATTGGTTCAGTTACAAGTGAAATGAGTTCAGAAAGGGGGAAAACAAGACGAAAAATAGTGACTGGGAAGGAAAAAAGGAGCAAAACAATGGATGGAAGGATAGAGAAAATTGAAACCAATTTTTTTTGTTTTTGACAGATACTGTAGAATAATTTATATTCAGACTCGAGTTACCAAAGATTTATTGTTAGGCAATTAGGTTGGCATTATGGCAAACTGGGAGAATTACAGTATGCTATTTTGGGACATTTACTGCAAGAAACAACTTTAGAGGAGGATTCCGACCAAATTTTTTGTAACCTTTTTTGCATTAAAATGTTCCTAAAGTTATGTACCTCCCTAACATTACTTCGAAAAAACTTAGAAAAATATTTGAAAACCCTAAAAAAATGCAAGCTCCCTCTGATCTCGTCCAAGGGGGTCGCAGGAATCCAAGTCCGCGGCCCCTGTGTGCGCTGTTTTTCATGTAATTTTTCAGAATTTTCATCTTTCCGGCGTTTTTTCCTCTGTTTCCAGAAAAATGGAATTGTTTTTATTTTTAAAAAATGGCTGAAAAATTGCATGACAATAATTTTGGCAAGAACTGTGCGCTCTTCCAATTTCAACGGCATTTTCAGAGACTTCGAATTTTTCCTGAATTTTTTCGAAGTAATATTATAAAGATAAACAACTTTGGAGACATTTTAATGCAAAAAGGTAACAATAATTTGGTCGGTTCCCCCTATCAATTGTTCAGGAGAAGTATTTTAAATTACCGTAAAACCTGGGTTAGAAGGGCAGTCAACTTTGAGCTAATTTTCCTTGGCTCTTATGTAAGATATGGAAAAGTAGTCAATTGACAAAATGTGTTTGTTATTACAACAAAAATTATGTTAGTTGACCACTTTTTGATATATTTCACAGGGACCGAGATAAATGGGTTCAAAGTTGAAAGTTAGAGGGCTCTTCTAATACAGGTTTTACGGTAAGTGAAAAATTCAGATGTTCAGAATAGAGACCTACAGTAGTCCTGACTTTCAAGAAAAAGTAAAAATTCAATTTATTGTCACAAGACTCATTCACCAAAAAAGGACTGTTGTTTTAGAATGGAACTCGTGAGCTCCAGTTCTTTACAACCATGCTGAAAATGACAAAAAATGCACATGACACTTTTTCTCTCTGCCGCCAGAATTACAAATTTTGGATGTATACAAACAATTTTTAAAGTTTTGAAACAAAAACAAAGATTGTTTAACTTCCAGAAAAACGGAAAATGTTATTTTTTGGGTCATAAACACTGTCATATATTTCTTGCAAGTTACGAGTATGCAAAAGGCCGAAAAAGGGGAAGAGAAAGGAGGGAACAATAAAAAATAAATGAAGAAGGAAGGGCTGGGAGAGCAATAAAAAACGAGCCGACAAGAAGGAAAAAGTGATAAGAGAGCAAAATGGAACGAAAACTGAAAAAAAAACGAGGCGTGATTGTTTATTTATTGGCGGTAAAAATGACTAAAAATCCACTAAAACAAGCAGTTTTTGTGTGAGGGAAATTTTACTGGGTGGAAACAGCAAAAAAGCAAAAACTCTACACACCGAATTAAGAGAATCCAATCGGATTAAAACGGCAAACAGTAGTAATACGTCCTCTCATGGTTGTAGAACTGAAGTTTTCGAGAGTTGACTGCTGAAAAATATGAAAATGTTCTTCCAGGGGTTGGTTGTAGACATGGGAAACGTTGGTCTTATGGGAAAGATAAGGGGAAAATATTGTCATCTCGTTTTCTTTGAATGGGATGCCGTTTTCCTCCAAAAAGATCAAAGTACTCAAGCAGTTTACGATATTTCTTGACCTTTAGGTTTCGTTTCTGATCTATATTTATTCTACAACCTGTTGAAAACCCAGGATTAGAAATAGTGATAAATGTGCAAGTTAAAAGAAAATACTAAAACATAGTACTTCGAGTATAATCATATATTATTCTGGTATAACAAATCGGAGCTGTGGCTAAAGGTGCCACAACGACAATCACCGTAACCGAACAATACGTTGAATTTCCGTATTTTTTCTCGATTTTCACTGGAAAATCAGGAAAAAAGAGAAAGAGTAGCACTCAAAAATTAAAGCTGAATTTCATATGATTTCTGTTGTTTCTCAACCAATTTTCATAATTAATAAAACAACAGACTGGAAATGTTCAATTTGTCAGAAAATTTCAGATTCCACCGAACAAATACAGTGCTTTAACTTTGTAATTGACATTTTAAAAGAAAAATTCAATCAGCTGCTTCAGTGCTAATTTTGGCACTTTTTTGGTTTCGAATATTTTATTTCCTCAGAATGGAATTTGGCTAAAAAACTGTCTACAACAAAAATAAAGCTCGGTTTATGTTCAGTAAGTTTTGAAATTTTCAGTCAAATTGAAACAATTTAAACTACTTTTGTAGGACTTCAAAATTGATTGTCAAAATACCGTGAAGCCTATAATAGAAGGTTCTCCTAACTTTACCATTAGGCCAATTTATCTCACTAGGGGAGGTTTTAAAATGAGGTGGAAAAAAAAAACTAAATCCGGAAAATAAGAATATTTTCAGGTTACGGCATTTTTTGTTGTGGGACCTTTGGCCACCGGCGTTTCTCTTCCACAGCTCCATTTTTTGTACCAGAATAATACAGTAATCCATGAATTATATTCTGAGACGACGTCCGTATTCAAAAAAAAATTTTCAATCATCTGGACATAGATTATTGAAATTTCTACAATTCTAGTGATCTGGGTCTGCCTGAATATTTCTATGTCTCCACGTAGATAACACGTCACATTTGCACGAAAGGAAACGGTCCTCACTGCGTGTGACTCACTGAAATTCCCCTACTGAAACAAGCTGACCCCCATGCAGCACTGTCCATCTTGTAGGGAAAAGAAAGCTTGTGAGAAAAATCAAAAGCCATGGAGAGTTGAAAAAAAGAACCTTCCAAAAACTCCAAGCCATTCAGCTAGGAAGAAAGCTCCAAGCGATTCATCTGAAATTGAGGTTGAGATCTCTTGCCGTAACTCATTGCGTAAGTTTTATACTGTTCTGTTTTTTTTTTCTATATCGAAGTCTTTTTTCCTATACGAAAAACCTTTTCACATTTCCTACAACGCCTTTTTTGTTCTTTTTCTTCACCCAACCCACAAAATTGTCTCCTGCATCGTTGCATTATCATAATCCCTCTTTTTTCTTACTCCCCCTCCACCGACAAAAAAGAGCTCATAACTAAAATGTGCTGCCATGTCCATGTCTTTTGTGAGCTTCTGTGTCCCAACTCTGCATTTTTCTTCTCGTCTCCATCACGTCTTCCGGTCCTCTTTTTGGTCCCGGAGAGGCGAGTCTTGATTGCGAAACACGAGATATTTGGAACCGCGCTTCTCCCTCTATCTCTCCAATCTTCTACTTTATTGCTTCTTTCCCTCTTTTTCATGAGTACATTTACATCTTTCTTGCTTCTACTATTACACAGTTCAGTTTTTTGTCCTAATTCGACATCTCAAAGAAATTCTTTAAAGTTCGAATTTTTTCTTCCTAAAAATGAAGATTTTGAATTTCAAACAACTTCGTCTTAATTTGTGTCCCCGGGGTTTTTTGATATTCTTCTGCTGAAAAATTCCATTCGCCTTTTCAATAAAAACATATTGAGTCACAGTAATCATTTAAAGGATCACACTCAAAAAAGTAACTTGGCACAGCAACGATCTACCGTACCTTTACCGCGGAATATGCTTCGTTCGCTTTTCAAAAGATATTTTTAGCATATTATTCGGGGGTACGACGAATTCGAACGTTTTCAAAATCGAACAGATCAATTCAGAACAGTCCTTTTTTCGCACACGTACCAGAGCAGATCGCGGACAGAATCGAACTGTTACAAGTTCGAACTGGTAAGGAGTCGAACTGTCCCAAATTGAAACGCTGTTTTGTGTGTGCTTTCATGCGCGCTCTGTTGCAGGCAGCCAAATTTTGAGCTCTCAATATAATTTTTCCCATTTTTTGTCGTTTTTTGGATTGTTTGTCTGTCTGATCAAAAAAGATCGAAAAAACTCGAAAAAAAATTTTTGATCGAAAAAAATCACATAAGGGTCCCCCCTTATGTGTTTTTTGAAAATTTCGAAACTAGTGAAATGACGGGCCCGGGCCGGGCCGGGCC